GTCCTTCAAGAAAGAACTGCCTTTGTTTCTTGCAAATGAGTGGCAAGATCCCTCATATGGGCACATTCTTGGTAGTCATCATTTGTACCTCGATGTACCAGGCGAGTGTTTTCACTTTTATATTGAAGAAGGAGTTGTGAAACGGGAGGTTGTAGAAAGCCTGAGGAATAATCACCAGGAAGCAGATACGAAGGTAGTACTGCATGCCATATCAGCAGACAGGGAGAAAGGAAACACTGTTATCAGGGCATCCGATACAGATATTGCAGTAATTCTGTTGTATCATTCTGCACGAGTTTCAGCTAAACTGTGGATGGATACCGGGACTGCCTCCAAGAACAACAGGCGCTATATAAATATCAAAGCAATTGCCCATAAACTTGGGCCACAGATATGCTTAGCACTTCCTGCATTCCACTCCTTCACAGGCTGTGATTACACCCCTAGCTTCACCCGTAAGGGCAAACAAAGGCCATTTGAGAAGTTGTTGAAAATCCCTGAGGTCCAAAATGCCTTTATTGAGCTAACACACGACGGACCCAGTGAAAACATCAAAATATCGCTGCAGCAATACACAGCCAGCATATACGGTGCAAAAGATGGGACAGATCTCAATGATCACAGGTACCAGAAGTTCATCAAGGGTTATGGACCCAAAGCGAGTGGTAAAAATCCACTTTCAAATCTCAAAGGCATTGATGCAAGTGCCATTCCACCATGTGAATCTGAGATCAATATGCATATCAGCCGTGTTGCATTTGTTGCTAAAATGTGGGCACAAGCTAACCGATTTCAGTTAAAACAGGATCCAGAAGAAAGTGATGGCTGGCAGTTGGAAGATGGCATGTATGTACCCATATGGTTTGAAGGGGAACAATTACCAATAAGTCTTGTTCCTGAGGAGGAGATTGAATCACAGATGTCTGAGGAAATCTTAGAAACAATGGAAATTTCATCATCAGATGAGGACACCTCTGATGAAGATGAATGAAAACTGTAGAGGCAAATTTAAAAACATCATGCAGCTGTACAAAGAAAAAAGTAAAGAAAAAGAATAAAAGATATAACAAAGAAAAAACAAAGAAATAAAAATATAAAGGAACATAAACTGGTGAAGGAATTCTTGATGGAAAGAAAACCTCACATAAAAAGAAAAAAAGAGATAAAAGAGGAACTAAAAATGAACAAATAAGAAAAGGTGAGGAAAAGGAAAAAGAAGAAAAATAAAGCGAGAAAAAAGAAGAGAGAAAAATTAGAAAATCAACAAAAAGAAAAACGGAGAAAAAAAAGAATAGAAAAAACAGAAAAAGGATATGAAGAAAAATGAAGAAGAGATAAAAGAAGAAGGAAGAATGGGGAAAAAGTAGAAAAACGAAAGAAGTAAAAGAAAAAGGAAAACAAAAAAAGAAAAAAAAACAAAAAAAAGAAAAAAGCAAAAAAAGAAAAGAAAAAAGAAAAAGAAAAAAAGAAAAAAAGAAAAAAAGGAAAAGAAAAGAAAAAAAGAAAAGAAAAAAAAGAAAAAAAAGAAAAGAAAAAAATAAAAAAGAAAAGAAAAAAGAAAGAAAAAAAAAGAAAAAAGAAGAAAGAAAAAAAGAAAACAGAAAAGAAAAAAAGAGAAAAGAAGAAAGAAGACAACGAAGAAAACAACACATGGCAACCTAAACCTACACTCCCTCCATAAGTTTGGCAACCTTGGCTCACCCATTGAACTACGTGTTAAAGCTTCTTTACCTTTGAATTTTTATTTACTTAACCTACGATGAAAATACTTATCCTAGTCTATTGATGGAAACGTAATTTGACTTTATCTCCAATATCTTCAAATTTTCTCTATTTTTTCCTCAATTACAATAAGTCGAAAATTAATGATAAATTTGATGAATGTACCTTTGTGACTTATGACCCAATGAGAAGTGGATTTAACTCCAAGGTTGACTACTCAGAATGGTTGAAAATGTCCTAGGGGTTCAAAATGAACATTTTGATCCTGTTTTTAATGATACGGTGGATTGGGCGTGGCCGTACCAGGGTAACATTCAATTAACTCAGAAATGGGTCAATCCCCAAATTTGGCCACTCTTAAGGACTCATTATATTTCAGAACGACCTAAGGAACATTTTTACAAAGGTTTAATTGATGTACTTAAGATGTCATTTAAATGTGCATTGGGCGTGGTCGTGCCAGGGTGACATTTGATTCACTCAGAAGTGGATTAATCCCCAAAATTGGCTACTCTTAAGAACTCATAATGTTTTAGAGTGCCCCAGGGAAGAATTTAAAAAAAGTTTCATTGATGTACTCGAGATGTCATTTAAATGTCTATGTAGCGCCACCTATTACCTGCTCAGAAATGGACTAAACCCCATCCTGGGCACTTAAGAGTGAATGAATTTCATTTCAGCACTAAAAACGAATCTTTTGGCATTGGTTTGCTTGATGTACTCAAAATGTCATTTAAACCGAATTTTAGGGGCATTTCAAAGAGCGCCCCCTGGTGGTAACCCCAAATCTAACACTTAAGAGTTACCTTTTTGGGGATGTTAGTCACATATCTACTAATTACAGGTCTCAAACCTTTTGTACTCGAGATGTCTTATAAATGTTTGCTAGCTCCTAGAGTATATGTGCATTACAGCAGTGTACAAACTCAAGGCCGGCGCAAGGTCTCTACGCACAAGTTTTTACAATAATGTGTGTTCAAAACGTGTTCACGATGACATTTAATGGCACACCAATTCAAGCTTTCCCTCAATAAAGAATAATATAATCACGGTGTCCAACCCAAACGCTCTTACATGCACGACGGAGCGTTTGATTAACGAGGAAACGCTGCGGAGCAAAATAAAATGGCGGCTTCTGGAGTATTGTTTCACTCGTTTCTCTTACATATCATACGTTATGGTGAAATATTATGTACCATTCGATGAACAATACCCTGAGCAAAGATTTTATTTATTTAACTTCTGGTGGTAACTGTTATTTGCTTGATCAAAGCTCCGTAGTTTGGATCGAACGAATCTGAAGTTGACGAATTGACCAGAAATTACGAATTAAACTGGTAGTTATATGAAAACGTCAATCTTTCTGTCAAAGTTGAAGATCACAAACCCGTATATTCTCATTTCCTAAAATCCCAGTCCAAATCCATTACTTGTTCTCAAGAAATCGCTTGTTTTCCTCGAAACGCTCTGTAGATTTAGGACACAATTTTAGAAACGCTCTTACCATTTTGTTTTGATATTATTTTCAGATTATTAGAGAAGATTGGAATCGAATCTATCTCTCAAAAACGTGGTGCACTTGTTAGGCAAATTGAAACGTCCGAACCTAGTGGTGCTAAACTTGCAACTAGCCGACTTAAGCCTACATAAGATGATGCTATGCCTAAATGTGTGCTAAAGCATAAAACTATTGACATAAAACGAAAAGTTTATATGTGAATAAATCTTTTTTCTTTTGATGCCAAGGGGTATACTAAATCTTTTCTATCTCTTCCTGAAAAGGAAAGTCAAGTTATATATTTCCTAAACAGATTTAGACTACCGCAGCGTTCCCAGTTCACTGTGTTGACCAGACCGGAGCGTTTCTTGAATATGAGAATGTTTCATAATTTTTTAGACTGGATTTTCGGTCATCAAATCACAATTACGATAATGTATGGTGCGTTGAAGCATTGAAATTTGATCAAAATATACGTTGGTGCTCTAATCTTGACTCAACTAATCACACGTCTCGTCAAAAGAGGTTTTGACTGGTAATACGATAAATACGTTTTTGAATTTTGATAACTATACTGCTTCGTACAGCTCTTCCTAATTGCTTCAAACGCCAACAGCCAGCCAGGTACAACATGAATATCGAATGGTATACTTGAAATAAGTAACTGCTCATACCTCTTATTCCCATTATTGGGGAAATCGTCAGATGGCTCATCATTCCCGCCCGCCAGTTGTCCTACTCCGGAGCGTTTCTTTGTTTAGTTTCAGTAATGAAACGCTCCGTCGTGCATGTAAGAGCGTTTGGGTTGGACACCGTGATAATATATTCCATGGTTGCATTAAATTTACCAGTACATACACTGGTAAGCTGAGATCCGGGACTGTGTTAAGAAAATCGCGCCTCTCGTTATATTTTATGTACATTCATCATTTGTTCATCGCTTGAGTTTCAGCTGGGTTTAAGTTATGTCTAAAGTTTGCAAATGTAATTGAACAATTTTAAACATAATGTTAACATCGAATATAATTATATTTTATTTCAAGGCCTTATAATTATTTCTTCAATGTTTTCTGAAGCTTGTAACTTAAAGCAGCAGTATGGACTGTCGAGTCGTATCCAGTGATCCTGGGTCTATAGAAAAATGAAAGCGTTGAATATCTTATAGCCTCTCAAAATGTATCTTTTTTCCATGTATGCAGCTAGAATTTGTGCACATACCTTATATCAATCGATAATGGCAAAATAAAATCCCCTAATTCTTCGACTTCTTTTCCTTCGTCTCCGCCATTTTTATTAAACCGGAAGTTTCTTCTCTAACGTCCGCGCAAAGTTTTTTCACTTTTAATTCAGATTTCGCTTTGGATTCAACTTTTAATGCTTTCTAATAATCGTCAAGTGATTTCTATAAGAAACGTTTTCATAAAAAGATTCACACTATCAGAGATTTTATCGACTCGAGCGCCAGAAAAATTAGTTTCAATTTCACCCGCTAGGTGTTTCGACGTCGAAAGAAATTGAAAAATCTAAAAGTGGGACTCCTTGTATAGAATTATGGATTCTAAACGATTTATCAGTTCTACTGGTTGATGATTATCGCCCTATGCATACATTTTACCAAAATAGGAATAAGGAAGAAGATGTTAGACCAAACTTCGCCCCGATAGTTCAGAAAAGGTAAAATTACCAATTTTTCTCCCCACAGTCCTTGTAGCCGCTTTAATTTTGATGCAAGATATGGCAAATTAGAGCTGAGTCTTCGGAAGTTTAATAAAAACACATTTTATTCAATGTTAAGTTTTCTGAAGCTTGCTACTTCATCTTGACCTTTTTTCGGTCGTTTCGTCTCGTCGACTTTGAACTGCGTTGTGCTCAATGTCTTGATTCTTTTGTTCAGCTCGGGTGACGTCAACCGCTGATACCAGTAGTCTGAAATGTACACTACCTACGTAAGGTCAAGCACTGTATAAGGTCACGATTTTACGGAAAATGTACATGTTGATTTTATTAAAATTACCAGACGTATGAAAGTCCCGGCAAAATAAGCCTAACTAATATGATCCTTAGCTACCTCATTGAACTACGTGTTGAAGCCTCTTTACATTTGAATTTTTATTTACTTAGCCTGTTAATAGAAACGTAATTTGACTTTATTTCTAATACCTCCAAATTTTCTCAATTGTTTTCCTCAATTACAATAAGTCGAAAATTGATGATAAATTTGATGAATCTTTGAAAATCGACATTCCCATGTTAACTAATGTAGATTTACCGCAAGTCATATGACAGAATATCCATCCATCCATCCGAGTCCTTGCAAACATACGAGCTAGGCAGGCAATTGAATTTGTTAAATTTATTTATTAAAAATTGATATGTTTCTTTAGGTTCAACAAAGTTATACGGCTTTAAAGTCAAAATTGTTTTTGAAAAAAACTCTTCCATTGAAATAACACAAGAGTCGAAAAATGATTTTCAAACATGACTTTGAAGCGTTGTAACTTTAGTATTCATCAAAATAGTATTCATCAATTTTCTATATAAAAATATTTTTTGCTGAATCTTTTACTGAAAAGATATCCTGATTTCTGATTTGCCCCAAACCCTCCATTTCCCATTAGATTACATGGGAATGACGAAAAATTCATCAAAACCATCGATTTCCGACCTAATTGATGAAAAAATTTAGAAAATTTGGAGGTATTCGAAATAAAGTCAAGTTACGTTTCGATCAATATTATAAGTTATTTCATCACTGGTTAAGTAAATAAAAATTCAAACATAAAGAGGCTTTAACACGTAGTTCAATGGGGGAGCTAAGGTTGCCAAACTTATGGAGGGGAGTGTATCATGAAGGTCGTGTCCAAACCAATAATACCTTGGCCTAACTATAATTAATATATTCAAATTCTGTTATTCTATAAAAGCCCATGACACGTGTGCTGATATCAATAATATAATGTGTTCCATTTTGTTGGTGGGTAATCATGGTCATGCATGATATGATAAAGTATTTGAAATATTGTCTAAAGGCCCATCGCTTACTAGATATCTGGCTAATGGTTCCAGCATGAGGACCAGTGTAGTCATCTGGTAGGTACTCCTTAGGCAATAACTTCATGGGGAGTTTTTCATAAAGTTCCTCCAAGTTAGGGAAGTAGTTGAACTGCAAAAAAGTTAAAAGTCTTAAATTTTTGCCAGGAGACTTTTTCTGATTTTAATGATTTCATCCATGAAGCGAGAAAATGAATTGTATTGATACAAAATGAGCGAGTATAATATTTACAAAACAGAGTATTTATTGGGAATATAATTTTCGCAGTTAAGGCTCGGTCACATTTGCTATACGGTGACGTTACGGTGGCTGTAGGTTCACAAAATCGATACAGAAATTCTACATCGTACTGCTTATCCCTTATATTTTATGCCGCATATTTTAGGAAGCTACGCGACCGCACAGGTAACCGTAGGTCAAATGTGACAAAACCATACGTTAATGACAATGTATAATTAAATTATACATTACCCTTTCCTTTATTTTGTTTGAAAGGAAAGGCCAAAAGATGGCAGTAAAGGCCTCCATAACAGCCCCGCTGTTATACATATAGACATGCTTGATTCTCGCCGGAAAGTTATTCTGGAAATACAGTTTTAGCAGAAATATTCTTATACGATTTGGGTAGTAAATCGGTTGTGTTAGTGTGACATCACGTATAATGTTAGCAACAACGTTATTTGATTCTAGAAGGTTTTTACTAAGGAATAAAGACCGAGATTTTATGTTTAATGGCGTTTTATTCTGTTCAATTGCGTAGCGATCGAGGTCTTTGGCGATGGCCAGAATAAAATTTGAGGTCCTAATTTGACATAAATCACAAAATCGAGGTCTTTGTTACGATTCTAATATGATAAACAAGAAATACAACTATTTGCATTTATGAATTTTAGCGGTTATACTCCATTATAGATGGTAAATGAATTGTTCTAGTTGTCCTGACCTCACGTATCATATTAGAATATTGGGTCAATTGCACGAAAATATTATATAAAATCTTACGTAAAAGATCATAGATGCGTTTTTCACAGTTTCCATCCCAATGAAAGTTGTGTGCTTTAAGGTTTGTCCGGTGCCATCTTTAAAAAGTACAACCCCGTTAACCTTAAAATGCAAAAAGCATATAAGTCTTAGTCTAATAAACTCTTTACCATTATCATTGATATACTCGCCTCAATCGATCATTACAACAAGTCATTTTTAAACAAAAACGACATGTCTAGGTAATTATAGTTATTAATATTATCACGATACATTATTAAACTTATTTAAATATCATATTTAAAGCTTCAAATCATACATAATCATGATCACATATAACATCATATCATGATTCCGAACCAATCAGAAATGGCAAAGGATAACTCCACAGATGTCGCTTTTGAAAAAAAATTAAATTTAAAATCGAGATTGTGGTTGATTGAAATCAGGTTTTATCGGTGAAATCACCAGGGTATTTTTTCCTTATTTTTATTTATTTATTTCGTCCACCGTATTTGCTGTGTTTAAATAAAGTTTTAAAATTATTAACTTATAATTATAACATGTAAAATGTACAACATGATTATAATTACAGACCAGATTTTGGTCTATTTATGTACATTTTGTGGACAGTAATTATATTATAATACAGCAATTTGCTTATATTCATCAATATCAAATATCTCCCCTGCTCCAAAAAATTGCTCCGAGAATCATCTCTTTTGAAACTCATACATGTATTTATTGAAAAACGGAATACATTAATTGCAAATTAAAAAAATTAAATTAAGCCAATAAAATGGCAAGATGACAATAACGGCCAGATAGTCAGAATCTTTGATTCCGAGTTTCAAGAGAGGTGTCCTTTGGTACATGGAGTTTGGGTACCTGAAATCTTCATTTTCTCATAATTAATACAACGATTTTCGAATTAGCCATATAATAGTGGAGCTACCACTAAAAACGATATGATTCTCTTTATATTACCTGAGTTAACTCCTCTCGCATTATGCACATGAACACGGAACCGATCATCGCAAAAAGGTCTTCGTTGTTGTACCCACAATTCTTCCCCGTTTGGTAACCACCTACCAAATAAAATAGTTTCATAATACAAATCAACTGTTTGGAATGGTGAAAATCAAAGGCAAGATATTTTGTAAAATATATAATATTTACCTCTTTTAATGCATCATTTAGCCATAATTAAAGCTTACAATTTATAAAACTATCCACAAAATTTGCTATTCATATGCAGCTATTTATTATCAGTATGTTGGTGTAGTTGACGCCGTACGCTCGCCGCAGAAATACACTGATTTAATTGATCTGTGGTTGACGCACGGCCTCCGTACGACAAATGTGACTGGGGTGTAAGGCTAAAACGAAGTATGCTAAGTGGTGCACATGTGGAAGTCAACTGTTCTAATTGGCTACCTAACTCAAGTTTACTTAATAATTAGAATCACTTAATTATCTCATCATATCTGATAATTTCAAAATATTTTTTTGCGGAAAAATGTCTGCCTCTTTTTGAAAGATTCAATTTTTAAATTGAGACCCATTATTCAAGATTCTTCAAATTCTTTCCAAAAATGATAATAGTTTCTGAAATAGATGCTGAAAAACATGATTGTTGATGTAATCTATTTCAAGAATATATCGTTCCTCAATGTTTATTGGTGAAAAAAGAAACACTCGGGATTTACCACCCATTAAAGATCCTCGCAATCTTTATCCAATCAGCGTTTGCGATGTGTATCGGCTCACGTATAAAAGGCGAATCCAACTCAAATCCATGCAGGGGTGTATGAGGTACTCGAATAGAAAAGAGCTCGTGAAATATGAATTTATATGCACATGGTCAATGTTTACACATGTTTGGAGTTATTGAAGAAAATGTGATATGGGTGTGGTTCCGAATTTGAAGTAATTGCTGGAAAATATGATTTTAATACGTGAAATTATATCTATTAAATACAGCATTAAAAATAACAGTACACATGAAGTACATGTATGATTGTGTCCAGAAATGTTTGAAACCCTTACGGAAAATTCTGTCTGCATTTTGTCACCATTGCTCTTTCTTCCCGCATTCTAGTGCTGTTTGAATGAATATATTAATTAATGTATTTCTAACTAAAATATATCACATTTTTTATAAACCACAAACATTTAGATCAACAAAAAAACTATTCAATACTTGAGTGAGCACAATATGCAAGGGTTACTAAGTTGACACAGTAAATGACCACTGATATTGTGTTAGTCCATGCACACAGCGTATTCTGCTAATACACATTTGCTAACACCCCTCACTTTCATAGTGAAGTGACTAATTGGTTTATGTTTACGTTTTAATGTGTTTTATGTTCCTTGTTACAGCAAGGGGGCCAGTAAAGTAGACTAACATGTTTGCATGGCAAGTTTTGATCGAATATGTGAGACACTTTAACGCATAACTAGTTTTTATAAATCAAAGGGGGTCCGTTTGTATATAGCGAGGGTGCGGTATACACATCTACTCACCGTAGATATGTGGTTCCATGAAACCCAGCTTGTATATACACGAATGTAACGGGTGCCGGCTTTCGGCTACCCGCTTAACATATTAATTTGATTTAATGAACCCATCATTTTGAAGTTGAAATAACGAACGTTCAAAATTGCATTATAGGTCTGCGATTGGGATTAACGCTATTTAGCTTGCAACTACCGAGATGCATAGCATATGCTATTTATAATCAAATGAGTTCGCCATTAAATTGTAACCAGACCGATGGATGATAGCCGTTATTTGCATCCGGGAATACAAGCTGATTCTACTGTAGAATTCATTTTATGAAGAAAAACAAACTATGTTTTAAAACAGACAAAGTTAGGAGTTGATTTTATAAAGTAAGTAAATCCTTCATACTAGGCCAAGTCAGGTAAGTTGAGCAAGAGCATACTATTGTTTCCTACTTTAATTATTCTTCGTATACACACGGAATTTTGAGAAGATTCGGTCATAAAAGAAAGTTATTGCAAAATTGGAGGATTACCATTGTGTGTCTCCTTGTCTATTTATAAATATGTCATATCTCTAATCTTACCTGCTCTCCATATAAGAATCCTACGTCCTTCACTGTCCCTGTCTGGCAATACGAGGAAGGGCCTATAATGCAATACGGAAGTCAATTAATTAGTTTTAACAAGAGCAATGCGAGTAAAGACCTGTATAATACGAAATACAATTTTAATAGATATAACATTGAGCAATACTAGCAAAGGCAAGCATAATACAGAAATCAGTTATTTAGATTAGATATAACATTGAGCAATACTAGCAAAGGCAAGCATAATACGGAACTCGGAGTTAATTAAATGACTTACAACATTGAGCAATGCAAGTAAAGCCCTGCTGAACTTAATTAATTAGCTTAGATGTAACATAAGCTATACTATAAGTTATTGATCAATGGGGACACTCTCAGTAGCAATACAGGTTGGTACAGCACAAAAACTGAATATTGAACTTTGCTCCCCGTTGATCAATAACTTATATTATCGTATGGTCTGTAAAACGAAGCCCTCTGATTGGTCAGTTCTTGTACTGTACCTATCTGTTTTGCTACTGAGGTTGTCCCCGTTGATCATCTCCGTCGCAATACAGAAAATATTGGTACGGAGGGGACAATCTCAGTAGCAATACAGAGGATCACGCGATAAAAACATTATTGAATGATTTGAAGTGCATACAGGCTATGTTCTGTCTCGATATTATAGTATTGGCACTCGACTTCGTCTCGTTCCAATACAGAATTTCTCGAGCAGAATATATCATGTATTGCACTTCAGATTAGTATAGTATGGAACTGAATTAGTAAATAAAAATATGAAGGTAGTTAGATATAATAGGAACAATAAGAGGAAGGACTACACAGCAATAATCGATGTTTTGAAAATAAAAGGTAAAGGTGTAATTACATGTCTCTCGTGAGAAGTTTCTTCATAGCAGAAGACTCAGTGTCGAGGTTACACATCCAAAATGGTAACTCGTTGTAAATCTTGCTGTGATAGACGTCAAACATCGTCCTGGCCTCCAACTGACTGAACTTGCACCTTCTCAAAAATTGCAGCAGGAAATTCGTGTCTAGTAAATAATATGACGGAAAAGTGTCAGTACTTAGTGTATTGAATAAGGATTATTCTTGAAACAGATTTTATTTTGAATTACGTTTAATGAAAATATATGGCCACAGGATGGGACGTCCTGTGTCAAATATACTCCAGCGCATACCTGTGCATACGGCATAATGTGGTTGCTGTTTAACCCACTGTCTAAACTGGTCCACAGCTGCGTCTCGTTCCTTGGGGTCTTCGTTTAACTCCTCCCTGGCCTTCTTTGCCCATTTGGGTTCCAGTTTGCAAACATATTTATTTCCATCAAATAATATGTCATCTAAACCGGAGTAACAGCCTGCATAATCTCTGGCCGCCATAATGTGAGTGTCTTGTTTGGTTTAAAAATGATGCCACTGTGCTCTACTAAATAAGTTGAATGCGCAAATGGAGTTGAATTCTTATATTGCACCATACATACACGCCGTCGTTTAAGGTAGAACTTCCTTGTCGATCGAGTTTTTTCTGATATTCGGATTTTCTTGAAAAAATCTAAGTGAATTCTGATGTATAACAAAATGTGTGAAAATTAGAAAGATTGACCGTTAGGTTATTTCCAGAAAATATTTTAATTTTACAAGGGTTTGAATGATAAATAAATTTATATCTCATAAAGGAGCACAATCCAACGCTTTTAAAAACTATTCAGGGCGTATCGCACTGTATATGAAGGAATCATATTTATCTTGGCAACATGTTCAAAATCTTTTTATTGGAGTGAATTTTTTCATCATGGAATCTACCCGGAACTACACGTAGTGAAACTTGTCATTAAAACCACACAGCTGCCTAGTCTTCTTTTAGCGTGTATTATGAACAGCAAAGCTAAATGTGTATAGGAAATGTGTATACTATCATAATTCAATGTGACAATATCAGTCTTATCTTCTTTGTATATAATAGTTTGCCTGTAAGGTTGGGCAAGCCGTCTATTACGTTGATAATATGAGATGTTGATTTAGCAAAGCTCTTACGGGCTAATTCTACAATATGTACACTAATATATATATGTAAGGGTGCAAGTATGTAGTCCAGTATGTAGTAAACAAAGGAGTATTTTGGTCAATTTAAAGATACTCTATTGAGACTTCTCTGTGGCATTTTTTCTTTATTCCTTTTTGTTTTGAATTTTTAACACCATAACATTAACTAACTACTCAATATGCAACTTTTCACCACGTAGAATTTTAAAATATTAAGTTTGAAAATTCCATTTTTATAATGGAGCTCAATGGGAAAAAGTACATAATTTGAATTATTTTCAAACGTAGCGGCGCGATTTTGATAAAATTGACAGATATAATAAATATTGGTAAGACGAAATGTTTGATGAAAAATGAAGAAAATTCACCGTCCTGGTTACGCAAACTATAGAAAAATCTGAAATAATCATAAAAACCTGTAAAAATAGATTGAAGGGGGTGATATTCATTTCTAATGTGCCTTTCACTACTACAGGGTAACCATAATTTTGGTACTGATTTGATTTTTCAATGAAAATCATTTCTATAGTGTATAGTCAGTTTAAATAATACAATTGCTATATTTCTTTACTGAACGGTGCAATCATTTATTTATTTATCAACAGTAATGCAAACTACATATTATACAGTTAGTAAAATATTAAAATAATTATATTAAAATTAAAGCATTGAGATGATACTTAAATAATTACATATTATATTGATAGGCATATTATATTATAGGATTTAAGCCAATGACTCAATGCATTGTAGATGATTAAATTTAACATATGTCCTGATTCTAGACTATGAACGAGGGTGGTAGTCCGAATTCAAAGCCTAGACTAGAAGACATAAGTGAATTGAAGCATCCACTATTCATTGAATCATGTGCTTTAATTCAACTTCACACATTGCAAAATATTTTATACAATTTCACTTAACAGAATGATATGTTTTCAAAGATATGTTGTACTTTTAGAATCATTTGCTTCAAAGAATTGAACTATGGCGGCCTTTACTCGTTATTTTACGATTTTTGCTGTAACTCGAAAAGTAGTCGAGCGATTTTGTTCATATTTGGTATATGAATACTATAAGCATGGCACACTGTCTAATGACTCTTCTGGTAGAAGGCGGCCATTTCAACGTATTTTACTATAACACGAAAAGTAGTGGAGGGAGTTTGTTCATATTTGGTATGTGAATACTATAAGCATGGCACACTGTCTAATGACACTTTTGGTAGAAGGCAGCCATTTTGAAAAATGGCCGTCATTTTAACGTATTTTACTATAACTCGAAAAGTAGTAGAGCGATTTTGTTCATATTTGATGCATGAATACTGTAAGCGTGACACACTGTCTAATGACACTTTTGGTAGAAAGAATGGCAGCCATTTTGAAAAATGGCTGCCATTTTGCTGTATACTTTGTTTGTAAAAAAATGCCAGCCATGGCTGTTCGATGGGATTTGCTACACTTTGGTGTTGCTGTTGTCTAGTTGAAGGATGGATGGACGGACAAATGGAGGAGTCCCTATAGCTTATCCCCTAATCTTCGTTGGATTGAACAATTGTGAATATGGTTTGTTGGACAAATAAAACTGATTGAATGTCTAAAAGCAAATAATGAAGTGGTAATTTATTTAAAATCATTAAAATCTCAAACATGCTTGCTTTGGTCTAGTCCCGTAATTAGTATCTATATACCTTATTAGATGCAGTGAAGGAGTTAAACCATTGGGATATGAATAAATAATGCAAAACATATTTTGTACATATTTCTCATTATTTAGGGTTACCCAGTAGTTTACAAGCTGACCTTTGCAAAATATATTTCACTTACTATCTTCATTCGCTATCACCCTATCTAGTTTCTTTCCAAATAGGCCTGAATTGCCTGGTTTATTGGTTTTAGCGAACCGTCCATTTCGTCGAACCATAATTTTGCTAAGGTTGTTTGTGATGAATATACAATATTCAGTTACATATAACTGTACAGCAACTTTATGCAAGGGAAGGTAATTGTGTGAGAGCACATAAAGTACACGAAGTATTGACCCACTTGTCTCAGTGAATCTTATAAACAGTGCATAAAGTTTTTTCTATGCTATGATTGGCTCACAGTTACTTATAGTGTAAGTTATTTTATTTCTATACAGTGTGGAATAGAGTGTATAAACTTTTACAGTTTCAAGCAGGTTTTAGTGTTTTCTGACCAATGATATATTCAGACTTATTCATTTCACGATTATGTAATACTGACCTACATATCTGTATAGCATATCTTTAATACATCTGATAAACACTACATGAAGTGTTTTCTATGCAATGATTATATACAGCTGCTTATTCATTGTTACTGCGAATTTCAAAAGCTTCCAAATTGTGTGGAATAGAGCATGCAATGTTTTTCAGTTCAAGCAGGTTTTAGTACATTCTGACCAATTGTATTTTCAGACTTAATTTATTTCATGATTATGTAATACTGACCTACTTATCTGCTTAACATGTCTTTAAAGACAGAACTAAACTAAACACTAAACTGATTGCTTTGAATGCTAATTTTCAAGAATGGATGTATTACAAAAGAAGAAAATATGAAGAATTCATATCGTTTATTTCGAGTGATTATTTAGTGTCAAGTTTTGACTCTAGTGACAGCATGTTACTGAATATATCATCAAGTGACCTAAACTACAGCAGCTAAAATAAGCATACCGAAATATTATAATTTAGTATAATTCAGAGAAAGGGATTATACAGAGAGATTAGCAATTTATCTATTAATTATCTTACAATTTAGCTCAATTCTTGAATTTGAAGATCTACTGCTATATTGTTTAATATGCATTATAACAGATCGACTTGATGGTAAGAACTAGTATGTGATTGATTTTACCTTTTTGTCATCAAGGAATATAATAATACCATTCCAATTAATGATTACTCACTTATTGTATTACTTCCGCTTGATACACATGCTGAAAGATATGCTTTTAAAATTAGTAAACCATTACCAAAACTATGGTTACCATGTAGTAGTGAACGGCACATTAAAATGAATATCACCCCCTTCAATCTATTTTTACAGGTTTTTATGATTATTTCACGTTTTCTATATTTTGCATAACCAGGACGGTGACTTTTTTTCATTTTTCTTCAAACATTTCGTCTTACCAATATTTATTATATCTGTCAATTTCAAGAAAATCACGCCGCTACGTTTGAAAATAATCCAAATTATGTCATTTTTCCCATTGAGCTCCATTATAAAAATGGAATTTTCAAACTTAATATTCTAAAATTCTACGTGGTGAAAAGTTGTATATTGAGTAGTAAGTTAATGTTATGGTGTAAAAAATTCAAAGCAAAAAGGAATAAAGAAAAAATGCCACGGAGAAGTCTCATTAACATCTCTTTAAGTCATGTCCAAAGTGTGCAAATGTAGCTGAACAATTTTAAACATAATGTTAACATCGAATATGATTATATTTTATTTCAAGGCCTTATAATAATTTCTTCAATGTTTTCTGAAGCTTGTAACCTAATTTTGATCCAAGATATGGCAAAATAAAGCTGAGTCTTCGGTAGTTTAATAAAAACACGACATTTTATTCAATGTTAAGTTTTCTAAAGCTTGCAACTTCGTCTTGACCTTTTTTCGGTCGTTTCTTCTCGTCGACTTTGAACTGCGTTGTGCTCAATGTCTTGATTCTTTTGTTCATCTCGGGTGACGTCAACCGCTGATACCAGTAGTCTGAAATGTACACTACCTACGTAAGGTCAAGCACTGTATAAGGTCACGATTTTACAGAAAATATACGTGCTGAATTTATTAAAAGCACCAGTATGAAAGTCCTGGCAAAATATACCTAGCATCCTTATTAGCACTTATCATGAAGATCGTGTCCAAACCAATAATACCCTGGCCTAACTATAATTAATATATTCAAATTCTGTTATTCTGCTTTTCTATAAAAGCCCATGGCATGTGTGTTGATATCAATGATCCATTTTGCTCCATTTTGTTGCGAAATATAGCGGGAAACCATGACCATGCATGATATGATAAAGTATTTGAAATATTGCTTAATAGACTGTGGACTACTCTGATAATTGCAACTTCTACTTTTCATGGAAGGTCACACATTCCAACATATTTCAAACAGTCTGTATGGTTATGCTGGGCACTTTCTGGGTAGTTGGACTTCATGTAGGGGTAGCAGACGGCCCTTAGGCAAATTCATACCCCCACCCAAAGAAAACCTTGGGGGTACTTTAATACCACCTTATAAAAAGAATACTAATGCATGTTATACATTCATAGTTTTATAGTAGGCAGGGCATACCATGGTTAGTCAGTGCCAGGAATGTCCAATCTCTAACTTATATGGTTACCATGGAAACAGTATTTATATCTCAAAATCTTCTCAATTTGACCTCCTACAAAATATGTCCCTCAGCCCTCAAAGTGAAATATTTGCAAATTTGTTTGGATTTTGTGGCTATCACTTTGTCAAAAGTTGTATTAATTTGTACATATTCACACTAAAGCACTAAAAAGTTGATATAATGCTCCAATAAATCAATAATATTTATCAAATATAGTCACACACAACTACTTTTAGGGAAACGTGGGCGTGGAACTTTTTGGTACTTGTGTAATTGTTGCAGCATTAAGCGAAAAATACATACTACACTAACAATAATTGACATTTAGTTATCATTTACAAATATTGTGTAACATAGTAATATGTTCATTATCATTATTAGATACTTAGGATATTTTATGTAAGTGTTTTCATGAACTTTCCCTTTATCCCTATACCATACAGGGTGGGCATCACCAATGGTGTCAAACTAACGTTTCTGTTTAACTTATTTTTTACCATAGACAAGGGAAAAAGCTTTACTTGAAGTAGTGACCTCATTAGGTGCTATGTATATGGATAGATGGATAGTCGGTAGATGGCAGCACTTGTGCTAGTCGGGCTAGATACTAGTATTTACCATTGACTTGACATATGTCACTTAGTCTAATTATTTACCATATTCGTTCTGTTGGATTAAAGTAAAACTGCATTTGCATTGAATTTGATGATGTTCAGATTGTGTTTGAAACTTGATGATAATCAGAAGTGTTTGAAACTGGATGTTGTTCTGATTGTGTATACATGAACTTTAAAAGGACCACTGAAACAATAAGTCAATGTTTAAGATTCTTTAAAATTATCTCAATGAGAATTTAGCTTGTTAACCTAAAGTTAAACTATACTTCGGGAAGATTTCGAAGCTATATAGCAGATTTAACCTGTTATTCATTATTGCTGATTTAAAAATTGCAAGGAATTAAAATGACCTAGGGAAGCCAGTGATATGAATTGGCCTTATTCATTGAGTTACATTAAAATGGAAAATTTTGAAGAACAATAGAACTGTGTTCCACGGCTTCACAGGAAATATGGAAGCAAAGTCAACAAGGGATGTGGGAACTAGGCTGTTGACATATAGAGCTTTAGAACTCTCCAGGGAAGTGTCTCTATTTGGTATAAAATACACAGGTCTATGCATGCACACCATTTTAAATATGAATCAAAATTAGTGATATCCATGTTTCTGGTGGAAAATTGTGAAGAACAAGAGAATTGTTCCACGGCTTCACAGGAAATATGGAAGCAAAGTCAACAAGGGATGTGGGAACTAGGCTGTTATCATATAGAGATTTAGAACTCTCCAAGGAAGTGTACGTCTCTATTTGGTATAAAATACACAGGTCTATGCATGCACATCATTTTAAATATGAATCAAAATTAGTGATATCCATGTTTCTGGTGAAAGCATCAATTGAAAGAGACAAACATCCTACCCCCCTATGGTATTAAATATAAGAAAGTTCGTAGCAGTAAAAAGGTATTACCATTTTAGATTTGATTGAACAAATTGAATCAGAGGCAATTTTTAAATTTCGATATATTAAAAGAGGATCTCTTGGTTAGATGGGAGAATTAGCTGCATGTTAAAGGTGCCCTTTTGTTCAGTTTATAACAAAATTGATATTAAGGACAAAGTGCTGAAATGAAGTCTCACTTTTGATCTTCATAGTATTTCCAATGGATAAATAAGTACCTGATCTTTCATTTGACACCAAAAATAGCACAAACAGACCACATCAGACTTGACACTGGAACATGAAAAAATATTTTTGATCTATCAATTTATTTGTGTCAAGTTTTTAGCAATGCCATAGAAAGATGGCATTGTTGTTTGCATTGATTATCCATTCATTTTTGATAGGATTTTCAAGCATACGCCATCTTTTAATCCAAGAGTTATTTAAAACATACATTTTTTGAAAAGTGGTAATTCACTTTTTTCAATCTCTGAACTTCAAATGCCGTTTTCTATGTGAATAATTTTTTTTTCACTTCAGTATTATTCCAAATTAAAGTTTTTATCATATTTGATTGACTGTGTGAGTGACATGTCTCAGATAATATTTTGTCCTTTTTCCTTCAAAAATAAGCGCATTGCCTGTTTAAGCCCGAAACAGTAAGAAATATTAAGCAAATATTTCATTCTATGAAGGGCAATACCTGTTCATCTTTCAATGATTTTTGCAATATGTATTGCCCGCAGCCCAAAGGACAATGGCAATACATGTTGCAAAAATCATTGAAAGTGCAGTTGTCAGAATCCACAGGCTGGCAATACGCTGGGCAATACGCTGGGCAATACGTCTTTTAAATATGCCAATAATCCAGGGAGCTGTGAAACACGCTATGGTATTTTTAGTCACATGGTACTGAATTAGCCAACCAAATCACACGATTTATAGCAATGATGTAATAATTAGTGCTACTTCCATGAACACCCATTTTGTAGAATAAGATTCTGATTCTCGTATTTGGTATATATATGAATAAGATGAAAAAATCCAGTCGAACATATTGTTGAGCATCAAACAAAGGTACAAGCTATATATCATTTCTCAAAATGGCCACTTTACTGAACAGCTGAAGCAATTGTCAAAAGATTATATGTATCAAGTTTTAATGTATTTACATTTAAGTAAAGCTGTCTTAATAAGTACACATGATGAAAATACAGGCACAAACAAAATGCATACTTTCTGAAACCCTGCGTTTGGATATTGATAAATTGAATGATATTGGCTAAAAACTTCTGTCAGAATTTCAACATTTCAAAACAACAGCAATAGCTAGAACTATCCTATTTAGATGTTTACTTGACAGTATGGAGAATTGGGGGAGCCTGACAGAGAATCATCACAGAGGTAGATTTGATAAAGAAAATGGAGTTTTGGTGTGGGAGGGGGGGGGGCGTGTAATTGCACACTTGTTTATAAAATTGATAATTTTCATAAAGGGCAATAAAGATATACATACACATACATAACATGACATATTCTAGACAAGGACAATTTGGACAAAGACAATTTGGGGTAGTAATATGGATCATGGAACATACAATATGTGGAAACTGTAGCCTTATAAGATCTTGTCCAATTTCAGTCATACCTGATTATAAAAGACCATTGATGTTATAGCATCAGGGCATATTACGTATAATATTAATTATGACCATCATTTCTACTTTGCCAAAATCATTCAACCAATTTTAAAATGGAATACGAGAACAAGATTTCTTATTTTAGGTTATATTCATATGTCTAATACATAAATAGAGGATATCCTATGATTTATGAGTGATATGATTTTTATCCCGAGCGAGCGTAGCGAGAGAGTGCAGTTATTAATATCTATGAGTGGATTAAAATCATATCACGAGTAAATCATAGGATGTTCCTTTTATTCAATAGTAAAAATTATCATCAGAATCGTCGGAAATTAAGTGATTTAATTCGAATTTTCCAAACGATCTGGCGATATTAAGCAAATATTTCATTCTATGGAGGGCAATACCTGTTCATCTTTCAATGATTTTTGCAGCATGTATTGCCCGCAGCCCGAAGGGCGATCTTTTCATCGGAATTCAGACTTTTAAATCTTTTTCCGTCTGCCATTTTAATGCACGTCACAACTGTACTGGACGAAACGGGACGATTCAAAATTCCCGGGCGGGCAATACGCCGGGCAATACGTCTTTTATAATTCAAAAATTAAGGGAGCTGTGAAATACGCTTTGGTATTTTTGATCACATGGTACTGAATCAGCTAATCAAAGGACACAAATTCTAGCAATGATATAATAATGACACTTAACCTCATTTTTAGTCTGAAGTAGCAAAATCCATAATTCATAGCATACGGTGCCGCATGTCATGGCTAAACACCGTATGCTATGGTTAAATGAAAATTTATCAAAAATATCATATTCTACCACTGATTACAAAAATACCGTTTTTACTTTAACATGTTATCCTATGAATATCATGCTAACTAAGAGGGGGAGAAACCCCAGGGTTCAAAGATGACATACGCTTATAATGTAAATCTGTATTGAACTGACATCGTCGCTGATTGGTTTAGCGAGTCGATCGTTGATTGGTTTAAAACTAGGTCAATTTGAAAACTTTGAAACCAAGATAGAGGGAAGTATAAATATACGTTCTTCCGGGAAAGGAGGTGCGCGAAGGAGGAAGTCGTATGTCATCAATTGATTCATGGGGTTTTCCCTCCTCTTATGCTAACTATGGAATAATATTTGATAATAAACATATTTACTTTCATTGTTTGTATACACTAAACAGATTTGTTTAGATATTATTTTAAGTTTTAACATAACAAAGCACTTTCCATGTTGAAGGAATCACTGAAGGTACAGCATTTCAGAAATGTGTAAATTGTTTATATTTCTTTATTTTGTGAAATACTAAAAGAAGTTATACTCGAACCTTGTTAACCATGAGTCAATGAATGCATCATATAATATCTGCAAAATGATGCACTATGCAATTCATACATGGAATAATTTATTTTGCCATATTGGAATCAAGTTTTATCTTTAATCCATTGGATAGATCATGCATTACCTGATGTTGATGTATTGATAATATAATCAGTGAGTCAATTGTAAGACACCATTTATCCGAGAAAATAAGAAATCTTAATTATGTTTTAAGACAGGGCATAACAATTCCCAATAATTTATTTATGTTTACTACATCTATAGTTCCAATGTCATTTAAGCCTGATTTGGTGCAAATGTCAAAGCATAACGTCAACTATAAAGTAGTTTAATTCAATGAAAATTAAAAATATCAAAATCGACAATTACTGTTCGCCATTTTAGATGCGAAGGTTACGGCCGTTACCTTCGCTTGGTACCTGATCAGTGTCCTTGCTCTGTTACAAATTTTCATTGCCCTCTGTTTGTTACCCCTCCCTCCTTCTCGATTAAGGCAATGAATATGAAGATGATTTAGAGGTAATATGAGAGATACTAGTGAAGGGTTGTTTTATGATAAATGAGTTCATATAACTTAATCCAAGTCATAACTGTTATTAGTATGCAAATCACACCAGCATGAGATAACATCATACTCAAAGGATGGAACGGTCCATTACTTTTCAATTGCATAAAATGGCTCTAACCCTGACAAATATATTAATCAATTTTAACTCATAGCTCTTGATCAATGAAACTATTCATAGTCTAGGTTCAAGTCAATGAATACGACTTTGACAAACTGAAAAGACGAAAGATCTCTAGCTGAGGCCCAGGAATACGTTAAAAATGTTTAAAAAGTCCCCTAGTGTACTGAGCTGGTAATGCATGGTGTAAACATGTATACTAACATTGAATAAGAATAAGACTGATTTTTTATTAATGACTGTATACCCGGGCCTCAGATCTCTAGGACTTAAAAGTTAATTTGACCATTGATGACCTATGATAGGGAAGGGTCATGATAACACTTATATAAAATATTTAAAGTATCTAATAATGATAATGAACATACTACAATGTTACAAATGTTAGTAGATGCTAATTGAATGTCAATTGTTGTTAGTGTAATATGTGTTTTTCATTTAATGCTGCAACAATTACACAAGTACCAAAAAGTGCCACGCCCAATTTTCCCTAAAAGCAGTTGTGTGTGACTACATTTGATAAATATTATTAATTTATGAGATCATTATATCAAGTTTTTAGTGCTTTAGTGTGAATACATACATATTAATTCAACTTTTGACAAAGTAGCAGCCACAAAAATCCAAACAGATTTGCAAATATTTCACTTTGAGAACTTAAGGACACATTTGGGACGGGGTCAAATTGAGAAGATTGTGAGATATAAATACTGTTTCAATGGTAACCATATAAGTCAGAGATTGGAAATTTCTGGCACTGACTAACCATGGCATGCAATACCCACTATAAAACGATGAATATCTGATATGCATTAGTATTCTTTTTATTGGATGGTATTGAAGTACCCCCACGGTTTTGTTGGGGTAGGGGTATAAATTGGCCTGAGGGCCTTCTAACACCCCTACATAAAGTCTAACTACCCAGAAAGTGTCCAGCATAATCATACAGATTGTTTGAAATATGTTGGAATGTGTGACCTTCCATGAAAAGTAGGATGCATTTCTAGAGCACTTCTACAGAATAGTCCACAGTCTATAAAAGGCCCATTACTTACTAGATATCTGACTAATGGTTCCAGCATGAGGACCAGTGTAGTCATCCGGTAGGTACTCCTTAGGCAATAATTTCATGGGGAGTTTTTCATAAAGTTCCTCCAGGTTAGAGAAGTAGTTGAACTGCAAACAAGTTAAAAGTTTTTCATTTTTGCCTTCAGACTTTTTCTGATTCTAATGATTTCATCCATGCAGCGAGAAAATGAATTGTATTGATACAAAATGGGCGAGTATAACATTTACAAAACAGAGTATTTATTTTTTATTAAGAGGGTAATTATTGGGATTATAATTTTCGCAGCTAAGCCTTGGTCACATTTGCTCTACGGTGACGTTACGGCGGCTGTAAGTTCGATTCACAAAATCGATATAGAAATTCTACATCGTACTGCTTATCCCTTATATTTTATGACGCATATTTTAGGAAGCTACGCGACCGCATGGTTAACCGTAGGTCAAATGTGACAAAACCATACGTTAATGACAATGTATAATAAATTTATTACATTACCCTTTCTTTTATTTTGTTTGAAATGAACGGCCAAAAGATGGCAGTAAAGGCCTCCATAACGGCTCCCATGTTATACATGTAGACATGCTTGATTCTCGCCGGAAAGTTATTCTGGAAATACAGTTTTTAGCTGAAATATTCTTATACGATTTATGTATTAAATCAGTTGTGTTAGTAAGTGTGACGTCACGTATTATGTTAGCATCAACGTTATTTGATTCTAGAAGGTTTTTACTTAAGGAATAAAGACCGAGATTTTATGATTAATGGCGTAATATTTGACCGAAAATTTTATTCTGTTTATTGTAAAAAGACCGAAATCGCGTAGCGATTGAGGTTTTTGGCAATGGCCACAATGGCCACAATGTTTCAAAAGTAACAGAACTGGTGCTGGTATTTTGTTAAATATGCACCATTCATCTTCAAAATTTTACATGATGTACTTCTATGCATGGTAACTAAAACTGCAAAGGTTCGTCAAAAATTATGAAATTCGGTTAGAGTTATGGTTGCTATGGTAACGTGACATCACAATACCCGGGGCAACATTCCAAACAGAAAGTTACTGAGACTTTAAGCGTTTTGTACACCCCATATATTATGAATCTAAACAATCATCTTTAAATTGTGGTGTTCCGCAGGGCTCGGTACTTGGACCACTATTATTTATTCTTTACATAAATGAACTGCCTTTTGTTGCCCCTAATCTAAAATTTATCATGTTTGCTGATGACACCAATCTTCTTGATAGTGATTATGATTTAAATGAACTTATGACTAGAACTAATGCAAACTTGAATTCAATAGATGACTGGATAAAAGCAAACAAACTTTCACTTAATATTGGCAAAACCAATGCTATTCTATTTGGACCCCAAAAAATCAAACAAATCTTAATCTTAAAATACGCAATGAGAACATAAATTTCCGGGAAAAAATTGACTTTCTTGGAATTATTATTGATAAAAACTTGAAATTTAAAGAGCACATAAAATCTGTTGAAACAAAGATTTCTCGCGTCATTGGTTCTCTTTATCACATTAAACATCTACTTCAAATAGACAGTTTCAAAACTATTTACTACTCATTGATACACTCTCAATTAAATTATTGCAACATAATCTGGGGTAACACATTTAAATCATTTTATGATCGTCTACATAAACTGCAGAAACAATTCTTAAGGCTAGCTTTAAATAAGGATAGACTTTCTCACTCCGCTCCCCTATTTAAAGATCTTAAAATATTAAATATTTTTGATGTTAACAGATATTGTACTGGTCAGTTCATGTACAAAATCTTTAATAAGCACCCCAGTCTTCCAAAAAATCTATTTCAAGACTTGTTTGGTATCAACATTAATATTCATCATCATTACACAAGACAATTGCATTATTTTCATATCCCTAAATGCTCTAAACTTTCCCTTCGCTATCTAGGTCCTAATCTTTGGAATGCTCTACCACATGATATTAAAAAATGCTCCCCTCTAAATATTTTCAAATCTTCATATAAAAAACTACTCATCTATCGATAATGTAAAATACCAATATCATACTATATTGTTGATTTTATACTGGTACCTGATTTTTGTAACATTTTTACATTGTACATCCTTAGATTAATTGTTAATACCATTTTTATATACCTACATGTAACATAATATAAATGTTTTTTTTATATGTAGTCTAGATGTCATTTTAATGATTTCTGTTAAACCGCAACATATACCCACTAGGGTGTCTAGCGGCTTGTTTTTTTTAGTGTATATTATATAAGAATTATGAAATAAATAAATTGAATTGAATTGAAATAATCCTTTTTGGTCAGTCCAAGAGTATTACTCCGTATCCATGACTCAGACATGAGTGAACCCATTTTAGGACATGTCACGCAGGGTCCATTGGACAACTTGGAGGCTGATTAACATTCCATTCTCAATATAAGTAAAAATTAGATATTGCATGATCAGAAGAATATGGGGCATAGTCTTAGTCCTCAAGACCTAGCTCCTCTATAGCTGCAGTGGTCATTAATGCTGACCAGCAGGCAGGCACGTCATCAAGGTGGATAACTGGCTTCAAATTGGCTCTTTTTAAAAGCTCAACCATGAATTGTGCAGACTGTCATACATAGTGATATTCCAGTCAATTGAATAAATATTATCATTATGAAATCATACTTGAATCTGAGTTGTATAGCAACACCATTACTACTAAGCAACTAATAAAACAAACAAGAAATGTTGTATTGTAATAGGTGAATTAGATCTTTCTTTAGTAAAACCAAAATGTTAGATTTTAAATTTTCATGAAAAATTTGCCCCGGGTATTGTGAGGTCATGTTACTATAGCAACCATAAATCTACCGACATTTAATAATTTTTTCTGAAACTTAAGAATTGTAGTTACACTACTTTAAAGTACAATTTGTGAACATTTTAACACGCTTTGTTCAGAATTGACAAAATGCCAACACCAGTCCTGTTACTTTTGGAACACCCTTTATTTGCATTTATGAATTTTAGCGGTCATACAAACTCCAATTTAGACCGTAAATGAATTGTTCTAGTTGTCGTGACGTCACGTATCATAATAAAATATTGGGGCAATTGCACGAAAATATTATACAAAATCTTACGTAAAAGATCATTGGTCCGTTTTTCACATTTTCCATCCCAAGGAAAGTTGTATGCTTTAAGGTTTGTCCGGTGCCATCTTGAAAAACTACAATCCCGTTAACCTTTAAATGCAAAAAGCATGTGTTAAGTCATCCTCCGATCACAGGGCTTCAAAATCCAGAATATCTTCTTTCTTTTTACCCCCTGCGACAACACTGAGACAGCAATCGTGTATACGTCATCGGTGCATAATTAGATCACGTGATTCAGTTTAATTTTGCGCTTCCAAATTGGTTATAGCAGGGGGAAGAAGAAGGTACGGATTCTGGACACCTGCTTGGGAGGAGGGTATTAAGTCTAAGTCTAATAAACTCTTTACCATTATCATTTATCTAACATATTGAGATATACTCGCCTCAATCGATCATTACAACAAGTTATTTTTTAAACAAAAACGACATGTCTAGGTAATTACAGTTCTTTATATTATCACGATACATATTAAACTAATTTAATTATCAGATTAAAAGCTTCAAATCATACATAATCGTAGATTACAACATATGATGATTCTGTACCAATCAGAAATGGCAAAGGATAACTCCACGGGTGTCGCTTTTGAAAATATTAGATTTAAAATGAAGATCGTTGTTTTTATGTCTCTGATTGAAATAAGGTTTATCGGTGAAATCACCAGAGTATTCCATTATTTATTTCATTATTTATTTATTCATTTATTTATTTATTTCATCCACTATATTTGATGTGTTTAAATAAAGTTTTCATATTATTTACATATAATTATAACAACTATATATATAATATACAATTAAATTATAATTACAGACCAGATCCTGGTCTATTTATGTACATTTTATGGATGTATACAGCAATATGCGTATTCATCAAAATCAAATATCACCCTTGCACCAAAAATTGCTCCGAGAATCATCTCTTTTGGATATCATATACAATTTTCAAAATGTTTGACCTTAAAACAGTGGGCCCTTCACAGTCCAGTATCATGTGTGATAGTGTATTTGTTCTTTATAGCACATTTTACATAATACTTTTTTTCCGTTAGACCACCTAGAAGGGATCAGGCAAGGGGGAGTCATAAATGATTTTTACTAAACAAGTGAACCTTCTATGAATATCTGATTTATCGCCATAATTTACCATTAATTCCTTGATTGACAAGTTTGAATAAGAGGCCACAATGACATCATTACGATTTTCTAAGCCATAAAAGATTTCTTCACGAGTCAGTATAGACGTGTAACTATACAGACTTAAAGTGTATTAAAATTTAATACAAAAAAGGCATGACGGAATGATTTGGTTTCTTACAAATTCTTACAACTTTTTGTGGCGATAGTCTTGAGTTTGAAATCTCTTGAAAATTGTTGAAAATTCGAATAGATTGCGAAAAATGCGGTCACATCTTTGATTTCGATAGTTCTTTTTTCTCTGGTGACATTCCGAGACTCAAGAGAGATGTTTGGAGCTACCCTTTGGTATATGGGGTTTTGGTACCTGAAATCTTCGTTTTTTGCATATTAAGTAATCTAACGATTTTCATGTTTTTAACTAATTTGTACTAGCCATATAAAAGTAGAGTTACCCCTAAGATATCAACGATATGATTCTCTTTATATTACCTGTGTTAACTCTTCTCGCATCATGCACATGAACATGGAACCGAACATCGAAAAAATGTCTTCGTGGTTAAACCCACAATTCTTCCCCGTTTGGTAAGCACCTACCAAATAAAATAATTTCCTTATACAAATCACCTGTTTGAAATGGTGAAAATCAAAGTCAAGATATTTTGTAAATCTACCTCATTTAATGTATCATTCAGCCATAATTAAAGCATACAATTTAAAGAACTATCAACAAACATTTGCTATTCACATGCAGCTATTTATTATCAGTTGATGTAGTAATGACTTATCTTATTTGCTATCTACAGTGTAATGCATATCACTATAAACTTTTTATGATGATATAAATCATATGGTTAGTACACGTTGCTCGCTCCTACATGCCTTAACCTAAATCGAATTATGCTAAGTGGTTTTCTGGTGCACATGTAGGATATTTATAAATATGTCATATCTCTAATCTTACCTGCTCTCCACATAATAATCCTACGTCATTCACTGTCCCTGTCTGGGAATACGAGCAAGGGCCTATAATAGAATACGGAATTTTGCCATTGTGTGTCCCCCTGTCTATTTATAAATATGTCATATCACTAATCTTACCTGCTCTCCACATAATAATCCTACGTCATTCACTGTCCCTGTCTGGGAATACGAGCAAGGGCCTATAATAGAATACGAAATTTTGCCATTGTGTGTCCCCCTGTCTATTTATAAATATGTCATATCACTAATCTTACCTGCTCTTCACATAATAATCCAACGTCCTTCACTGTCCCTGTCTGGGAATACGAGCAAGGGCCTATAATAGAATACGGAATTTTGCCATTGTGTGTCTCCCTGTCTATTTATAAATATGTCATATCTCTAATCTTACCTGCTCTTCACATAATAAGCCTACGTCCTTCACTGTCCCTGTCTGGCAATACGAGCAAGGAATAGAATACGGAATTTTGCCATTGTGTGTCTCCCTGTCTATTTATAAATATGTCGTATCTCTAGTCTAATCTTACCTGCCCTCCACAAAAGAATCCTACGTCCTTCACTGTCCCTGTCTGGCAATATTAGCAAGGGCCTATAATAGAACACAGAAATCAATCAATTAGCTTGGATATACCAAGAGCAATACAAGTAAGGTCATTTAATTATGATACGGAACTCAGTTAATTAGATTTTTAAGCAATACAAGCAACGGCATTAATGATACGGAACTCAGTTAATGAAATATAAGATGGGCAATACAAGCAAAGGCATGTATCGTACGGAAATTCAGTTAATTAGATCCGATATAAATTGAGCAATACTAGAAAAGGCATTAATGATACGGAACTCAGTTAATGAAATATAACATGACCAATACAAGCAAAGGCACGTATAATATCGAACTCAGAAAAGATATAACATTGAGCAATACAAGCAAAGGCATGTATGGTACGGAAATTCAGTTAATTAGATCCGATATAACATTGAGCAATACTAGCAAAGGCATGTATGATACGGAACTCAGTTAATGAAATATAACATGAGCAAAACAAGCAAAGGCACGTATAATACCGAACTCAGATAAGATATAACATTGAGCAATACAAGCAAAGGCATGTATAATACGGATTAGATATTACATTGAGCAATACTAGCAAAGGCACGTATGATACTGAACTCAGATAAGATATAACATTGACCAATACAAGCAAAAGCATGTATAATACGGAACTCAGTTAATTAGATCCGATATAACATTGAGCAATACTAGCAAAGGCATGTATAATACGGATTAGATATAACATTGAGCAATACTAGCAAAGGCATGTATAATACGGATTAGATATACCATTGAAAAATACAAGCAAAGGCACGTATAAAACCAAACTCATAGAACTCATGAATAGATATAACAAAAGCAATGCGAGTAAACGCACGAATAATACGGAACTCAGATAAGATATAACATTGAGCAATACAAGCAAGGGCATGTAAGATACGGAACTCAGTTAATTAGATTAGATATAACATTGAGCAATACAAGTAAAGCCCTGCTGAACTTAATTAATTAGCTTAGATGTTACATAAGCAATACTATACAAATTGACATACTATTAAATGATTTTGAGTGCAATGCTTGTATTTATCGTATGATCTGTAAAATGGAGCCTTCTGATTGGTCAGTTATTGTGCTGTACCAATCTGTATTGCTACTGAGATTGTCCCCGTTGATCATCTCTGTCGCAATATTGGTACGGAGGGGATATTCTCAGTAGCAATACAGAGGATCACACAATAAAAACGTCATTGAATAATTTGAAGTACAATACAGGATATATTCTGTCTCGATATTCTGTAATGGCACTCAACTTCGTCTCGTTCCAATACGGAATTTCTCGAGCAGAATATATCCTGTATTACACTTCAAATCATTCAATAACTTATACTATTTCAGAGAGTGTATTCCACGCAGCCCGAAGGGCAAGTGGAGTGCATCCCTCAGAAATATATACAGGTAGTGCGCACGAAAACAGCATTCAATATTTGTTTTATTATTTCACAAGTAATATTGTAAAATCCATCTGATTTTGTTCTTGTACTGAGATTGAAATTTCGCCAAAATGTTCTTCAAATTTTCTTTGGAAAGGACCAGGGGAAACTTTGTAAACATGATTATTTTCTGGATAGCTTTTTATTCTTATCACTGAATAATCCATTTAAACATCTTTCTCTTCATTACCAATTGCCCTTTATTGCCTATACCATCCATCTTCAACTTAACTTTATTTACAAAACGTCTGACAGAAATCATTCAAGTCACTACACGGGAAGAAAAACCCTGTGTGGTTTCCCCCGAGAATACATGAAATGTACATGTGACGTCACATTCGTTGAATACCCGTATTTATTTTATGAAAAATACACCTTTCATATCAATGATTCGAGTAAAATACAGAAAATATTCTACCCGAGAAAGTTTGTATTTTACGAGGAGCTAGCCGAGTGAAATACAAACTATTGGAAATATTTTCTGTATTTCACGAGGAACCCTTAAATAACGTTCTTATTCCACGATCAAGGAAAAACTTCCACAAACGTCATGAGGGTTTTATTGTGTAGCTCTGATCTTGGACTTTTGATGTGTGTCTTTCAATTTGTCAATGTGAATACTTATATAATTTGTAACCGATCTCTCAAGAAAGAGCGAGGGAAAGTATCGCAACAGATTTTTGACAGTAAATAATTTTTTTCTAGTAGTTTCTGGCTGTACAAAAATGAATGCATATGAAAGGCCAATGTATAATCTTTAAGAAAAATTCAAAGAATGGTTTCAAGATCAATTGGATTATCTCATAAGCCATGTTTAATCCACCCATCAACAAGCTTTTTTTTTCAAAATACAATCGTCATTTTCACCATCGTCCCTCATTTTTTTTACAATTTTCATGCAAAGTTACATTGTACTTGAACACATGTTTCATCACTTAAAATATATAAGGAACTCCTTGTGGATTAGGATTATGATAATCCAATATAAGGGGATCCAATGGGGCTATGCTTTTAGTACAGCACACTCATATAAGATGTCATTAGTGTGCCATGAAGTTAGTTCAAAATGTTTTCATAAATGAATGGTTGGACTTGTTTGATCCCCTGCTGTTTGATCCCCTGTTTAATCAATTGAGCATAACCTCAGCATTTCCCAAAAAATTCTGAATACCTGTCAAGTTGACTGTTTAGTGTTTGAGTGCAGTTAAACATGTGTGTGTGTGTAAGTTGCTAAGAAATTCTAAATACTTTGAACTTTTCTTGAAGATTATAGATTCCTCTTTCCCAAGCATTTACTTTTTACAGCCAGAAACTACTCACAAAAAATTATCAACTGTCAAAATTATCAAAAGTCTGTTGCGATACTTTCCCTGCTCCTTTTCAAATTCATCAGCTGAAGTTTAGCGAATCGTTTTTTCTACTTTTTTCAACGGAGGGGACATTCTCAGTAGCAATACAGAGGACCACACGATAAAAACGTAATAATGATTTGAAGTGCAATACAGGATATATTCGCGACTTCGTCTCGTTCCATTACGGAATTTCTCGAGCAGAATATATTCTGTATTGCACTTCAAACATTCAATAACTCATAATATCTAACTCAATTTTAAATAAATTAAAATATAAGGTTAGATATAATAGGATCAATAAGAGCAGGGATTACACAGCAATAAACAATGTTTTGAAAATAAAACGTAAACGTGTAATTACATGTCTCTCGTGAGAAGTTTCTTCATAGCAGAAGACTTAGTGTCGATGTTACACATCCAAAATGGTAACAAGCTGTAAATCTTGCTGTGATAGACGTCAAACATCGTCCTGGCCTCCAACTGACTGAACTTGCATCTTCTCAAAAATTGCAGCAGGAAATTCGTGTCTAGAAATAATATGACGGGAAAGTGTCAGTGCTTATGCCTATGGTCATATTTACTCCGATTTTCACTACGGCACCCGGCTGATTGAGTATTTTGTCCAGAAATGTATTCAATGTTGAACAAAATACTCAATCGGCCGGGCGCCGGCCGGTGAATCGCAGCAAATGTGACCCAGGCATTAGTGTATCGAATAAGGATTATTCTCGAAACAGATTTTATTATGAATTATTTTTAATGAAAATATATGGCTACGGGATGGGACGTCCAGTGTCAAATGTACATACCTGTGCATACGGAATAATGAGGTTGCTGTTTAATCCACTGTCTGAACTGGTCCACAGCTGCGTCCCGTTCCTTTGGGTCTTCGTTCAACTCCTCCTTGGCCTTCTTTACCCATTTGGGTTCCAATTTGCAAACATATTTATTTCCATCTAATAATATGTCATCTAAACCGGAGAAACAGCCTGCATAATCTCTGGCTGCCATAATGTAAGTGTCTTGTTTGGTTTAAAAATGATGCTACTGTGCTCTACTAAATAAGTTGAATGCGCAAATGGAGATGAATTCTTAAATTGCACCATAAATAATAATGAAAAAAATTACACGCCGTCGTTTAAGGTAGAACGTTTTTGTCGATCGACTTTTTCTAAATATAACAATAAATTAGAAAGATTGACCGTTGGGTTATTTCTAGAAAATATTTATGAAAATTAACCGTCCTGATCTTGAGAAAAAACTTAAGGTATTATGAATAAGAGGGATTTTATTGTATTATTGTATTATTTCATTCTATTGTATATAGATCATAATTGTAGATCATCACGAGCGTGTCATATAAAAAGAGATCAAAATCTGTGTTGTTGGCGGTTAAAAAAAGATTCTGCCTGGTGTAAAAGAAATCATGGTCCCCTGGGGATTATGGTCCCCTTTCCTTACGGCCCTTACTGGCCCTGACTGTGTATAAATAATAAGGAAAATAATTGTAATTAGGTCACCATATAAATCAATAGAGAGGCTCAGAGCAGGACCAAAATGTGAAAGGACCAACTACCCTTTTACACCGGTTTCGAACCCATTTTTCAGGGTTTGAAAATGTAAAACCCAAGGTTAAGGCATTGGATCAACCATAGGACATTTTTCAAATCAACAAATGTTGTCTGACTGCAAGTGAACTGACTGCGCAGTGGACACTGAAGTCCTACCTTAAGGCAACCTTCAATTAACCTTCATACTCATACAGCGGCATTGCTTAAAAAATTATGTGTATACAGTCCCATTCATGCACCTTCACAAGGTTCATTATTGTAGGCCATAGACCAAGGGAAAATTAAACAAGTCTCGGCTGCTAAACATCGATTGAACATCTTTTTAAAACGTGACTTCTTGGTATGAGTTCTCACTGGTAGCACATCGTATCCCCAAATGCATCCAAAATCTTTTCCAATGTATACCTATTGATAATTTATTTTTTCAGATAATCAAATAACACTCAACACTCAATATAAAACATGCTGAAAGTCCATGAACCTGGTAACAAGTGATTTGATTGGTGAAAAATGGTAACTGGACTCAATTGAAGTGGAGCAACTGTTATTTTGAGCCCAGGATTACTTTTTCCTGCAACTGCAACTATTCAACTACCTCTTGATGACGAAAAGATTAATCAATAAATTTTGTATCCGCTAAATTTTGAATTTGATCAGATTCATCAGGCTGACACTCCCACCCACCCCTAGAAAACATTAGGCAAATTGTTTCCTTTCTACTTTTCCCTGTATGGAGAAACTTTGAAGCTTAACTAGTCAAGTAAAACAATCGATGTCACGTGTCTACTTTGATTAAGATAAATATACACAAGGACCTCAAGCGTCCCGATCTCAAGACCTCATAGTTACGACAAAGGACCTAGCTTGGCTTGTTCAGTGCTCTAGACTGCCCGGCCAACTCGTCAACCCCCCCCCCCTAAAAAAATTGTTGTCCTTCATAGAGGGAACAGGTGTCAACGCACAACTACACAATAAAGAGGCAACGTTCAAACACATATTTAGCCTAGTCCAACAACATTAGACCTAGCCTGGACCTCGTTTCTTATCTGACATGTCTTATGGCCCCGGCTAGGTCTAACCTCCATGATCATTTTGCCCTTGATGCGTTAATTTAATCGTTCCGCAGGTTTCGACAAGCGGAACTAATTAAACCCTGAAACCATGGTCATATTACACAAAGAATGTGATTCAAGCATGCATACATACCTTATGAATACATACACACCATCCCGTATCCCCCTTAGACCCTATTGATGCATAATTACGAAAATATTGGAGACCGGTTTGGAATATAACGAAAATGTCGGTCAGTTTCGGTAACATCGAAATTGCAAATCGTATCAGAAATTAACCGTCATCGCGGCACTGCATTTACAAACAGTAGGTTTGCAATTAATAACTATTTTGCGTGTATACACGCGCTATATAAATCAATCAAAGATACCTGTTATCCTCAAAATTTATCTTTTAATGCGAGTAATCGCGATAATAATTATCAATCTATTTGACAACAATTTCGTTTCGCTAGTAGTTTAATTTTACGATCCGGGACACTCGGACGAACAGACACGATGACGGACATGCGGAAATGTCATTTTAGAGATCGGTAAGTGTAGCCTCATTTTACGAGTATAAATGAACATTTAACGCAATAATATTGTGTTAAATCGCTTGATGTTATGTGTTTTTATATTATTGTCAAGTATCAATTGCACGTTATCGCGGCAAAATGGTTTCGATGGATCCAGAACTTGCATCAAAGGAAAGAATAGCAAAGAGGTTAAACTCAATAACGGCCCCAAGAAAATTCCTAATAGTAAAGATCGCCGTTATTGAGTTTAACGACGTTGAACTAATATTTAGCCGTGCTGTTCATAATACAGGCTAAGAATGAGACTAGGCAGCTGTTTCCTTTCGATGACAAGTTTTACCTCACGTAGTCCCGGTGTGAAAGAAATGATGGTCCCCCAGGGATTATTGTCCCCTTTCTTAGCGGCCCTTACTGGCCCTGATTCCGTATAAGATAATAAGGGAAAGAGTTGTATTTAGGTCACCATATAAATCAATAGAGTGTAGGACCATAATTTGATAGGACCTCCTACCCTTTTGCACCTGGTAGATACATGTACCAGGATGAAAAAAATCACACCCGAAAATACGATAAAATAAAAAGATTCTGAACATGCTGACAAGATAAATATGATTCCTTCACATACACCGCGATACGCCCTGAATAGTTTTAAAAGCGTTAGATTGCGCTCCTTTATGAAATATAAATGTATTTGTCCTAAGATCCCGATAATTCATTAGTAATGTGAGAGGTACATCTCATTGATATGAATATGTATGTCATGAGGAATCAAGAAAGTTTAATTTCCTGATATTTATCTGTTTATAAGAAAATGATTGCCCCAAAAATACATAATACGGCGAGTATACAGGGTGTCCGGAAAGTAAAGATACAAATACTCTAATTTTAAGACATTTAGGAGCTTTGCAATGAAATTGCTACATTGGGGATATGTGGAGCAGCGTCACAATTAATTTTTATTGTCTGTTATAAATCTAAATCCTATTCATATCATCTTGGCACTCAATCCACTTGCTCCCTATAAAACATCAAATTATGTCCCGCAATAGCATAAGTATTAGTACTTAAATGCTATTTTATCATTTAACATGACTACTATTATCCTGTATTATGTTTTCCCCGCATTATTTTTGTATATGTTCATGATGCATCTTGACCAGAGATTCAAAGACCGGACAAAACCGCTGTTGTCCATCTCTCAAATTGCTGATATCATTCGCTTCCAGTTGAGTCTCATTTGAATACTGAACTTCTAACAAATATCGCTTTGAGATGCTCATTAAGGTAGAAGTCTAAAGGGGCCTTTTCAGTTAAAAATGGGGCATTGTACAAAAAGGTTTAGTGTCAAGACACTCCATTTTGAGATTTGTTGGCTTTGCTTTGTGAACTGGTGCATTGTGGAGGTAGAATATTGACTTTCCTTATTAACCCAGGGAACTTTTATTTTAAGCACTTGTATAATATTTATTTGATTACACTGATGACATAACATAGTTCTGACATGTATCAAAAACACCATTATACATAAGAGAACATAATAGCAACAATAATATTTGATATAGTTGATAGAAAACACAATGATGAAGACCGAATCAAATGGTTATATTTTAGCAATTAATTAGATTTTAGCGATGATCTTGAACTGCTCCACATACCTCTCACATCCGTAACCATGAAAACCATAACTTTAACCGGTTTAGACTATATGCGATGAGAGTTAATAGACACGTTGTAACAATGTTCCTCTACAATCTGTAGCACTTTCATTGCAAAGCTCCTAAATCTCTTAAAATTAGAGTATTTGTATCTTTACTTTCCGGACACCCTGTATAGAATAAATATTTTACAATAGCTTGTTCAAGCATAGTATGTTATTTCTGGCTGTGGTCCGGGGGGGGGGCGAAAGAAAATGCAGATTGTTATCTATAAAAGGATGATTTAAAGGTATTGCTGAAGAAATGTAATCTCTTGAAATGTTTAGAAAAAAAACTAATTGAATGGAGTACGTGCAAAGGTAGTATTGCATCCTTATTTTTGTCCAAATATTTTTTGAATCCAGTATTCTTATAGCTATGTTGAATCGAATATTGACACTTGACATTTTTAACTCAATATCTGATACGAATAGGGCATGATCCACAGGCTGGTATCGAAATATTTGTCCGCTGTGACGGAGCATGCTATTTTTCATAAAAACACTAATTAAGAATACTTCACGATTTATTTTTTAACTCATATGTTTCGTTATACCATACAAAATTACTCACTCCATGCAATGGATATATCATTTGCGGGTAACTTTCACTTCTGTTTTAAGTCCAATTACGCTGGGAAGAAAAGCTATTGAAAATGGCGCCGGAGTATCATACTTCAAAATGTACCATTTCTTGTTTAACTTTCTAATGGCACGATATAGTGACACGATAATAATTACACATGGTTTCAGCATAACTATAAAGGTATAAATGAGATGTTGATGTATTTGGTCTTTTTAATTCTTTTATAAAAAATAATGTTTAATTTTTTTGTCCGCTGTGACGGAGCAGTTGCAAATGTGAACTGTGAAAATGCTCCGTCACAGCGGACAAAAAATATTAATATTATGTTTTATTAAAAAAACTAAAAAGACCCAATGCATTAATATCTCATTAATACATTCAGAGGTATGCTTAAAACATATGTTAATATTATCGTGTCACTATATCATGCCATTAAAAAGTTAAAAAAGAAATCGTACATTTTAGAGTTTGATACTCTGGCGCCGTTTTCAATAGATTTTACTCCTAGCGTTATTGGACTTCAAACAGAAGTGAAGGTTACACGCAAATGATATATCCATTGCATGGAGTAAGTAATTATCTTTGATATAACGAAACATATGAGTAAAAAAATAGATCGTGAAGCATTCTTAGTGTTTTTATGAAAAATAGCATGCTCCGTCATAGCGGACAAATCTTTCGATACCAGCCTGTGTGATCAATGATTGTTATTCAAATATTAAAGGTGGCACTCGTGAAGTGCTGTAATAGATACTTGTAGATAAGAAAAGTTTCGAAGAAATTGTTCCATCATACAATACAAGTATTGTTTCAACAAAACAATGGCATTACTGGGTGTGTTTCTGTTGATTCTGCTAACACATGGAATGTCATGTGATAGAGAGGATATTACGTGTCCAGATGGAACACCCAATCCCGGTCGCGGACCCGGAAGATGTAATTGCTACAAGGAAGGTGACCTTCGAGTTATAAACTGCCGGAACCGTGGATTCACGGATATTCCCCAGATGGCTTCCTCCGAAGAGTGGGACTTACTGAACATGGGTATCAACAAAATAACTGATGTCCCTACAGGTATTTTTGATGGACTCCCAAATTTGAAATCCATTGATTTCTTCTACAATACTGATCTCACAACCTTGCAATCGAACGCATTCCGAGGTTCTAATGAGATTCAGAACTTTGTTTTCACGCGTTGTAGTATCAGTAATATCGGCGACAATGCATTTAGTAACTTATACAATCTAACCACGTTAAACCTGCAAAGCAACAACCTGACTGTAATAACCGAAAATGCATTCAATGGACTCGCTGCATTGGAACATCTTAGACTTGACGGAAATGAAATTCAGACAATTCATCCAAATGCATTCCAGGGCCTCATAAACCTTACGACGTTGACCATTGCTGGAAATCAATTCACAGAGGTTCCCGAGCGTTCTTTGAAGATGTTAACAGAACTCCGTGATCTAGATCTCTCAAATAACAGAATCACAACAATCCCAGAAGAAGCGTTCACAGGACATGCTAAACTAGAGCGTTTGAATTTATGGAAAAACCAAATAACACGTTTACCAGATGGTGTATTCAAGAATCAAGAAATGTTAAGAATTCTGCTACTTTCGGAAAATAGACTTACGAAATTGCCACAAACTTTGTTTCAACAAACAAGAAAGCTAACGCAACTGGAAATAGTTCAGAATAATTTGGAAACCATCAAAAATGGGACATTTGAGCGGAATTTCGAACTGAAATTCATATTTCTTACTGACAATAACCTATCGGAATTGTCACTGTTTGCCTTCAAAAATCTGACTTCCCTTCTTCAATTAGCATTGGGACAAAATGAAATCGAAAATGTCTCAGGATTTTCTTTTGATACGCTACATCGCCTGAAAAAGCTGACAATCGCCTCTCGGAAACCAATCAAAATCCACGAGAATGCGTTTTGCGGGCTAGATAGTTTAATGGAGTAAGATATGTCGGGGTCTGCCATGTTTGAAATTAGCGTGTGTCATCTAAGTCATTTACCAACCTACCAAAATGGTTTAAAGCTTTTAGTTATTGGTAGCCAGATTAACTGTGGCTGTGATATGTGGTCAGTTAAAACAAACATGTGCCCACATGGATCTTGTTGTCGGGATTGACAAAAATGAATGCGTGGAACCTAAAGCTCATAAAGGTTATCACTGGAGTTGGTGGACTGACTGGCATTATAAACAAATAGGTTGTGACAGAAATGACAAAAATCCAGTTTGTTCCGTACCTTGTGTTGAGTTCCAACCAACGACAGTGGGCCCAACGACTCAACAACTGACCCCTGAAGTCCCTAGAATGACCGAATCCCCTACAACAACAATATCCCTTACAACTAAGATCTCTTCATCAACCAAGGCCCAAACAACCATTGGTCAGTCTACACTTGGAGAATCCTTGCAAAGGTATGATGCACACAAAATGAATAACGAGTGCTAACTTGCGTCTAATTACCAGCTCAAAAATTAATTCTAAGTAAATAATATGTAGGCTTTTATAGATAAATCATGACATTTAGTGCAATCTTGCCATTAATCACAGTATCTGATTTGTTGTATATTTAAGGTGTGAGTGCAGGTTGATGCTTGAAGTAGCAAAAAACTGTACAAACGGCATATCATCACGCTGCGTGGAGACATCACTAATATAGTTTCCAGACGCAAGCCTCATGGTAACAAGTGGTTGTGAAGGATGTCTTGAAATGCTTCGTGTCTGCCCTGAAGATTGCTTCACGACTGCGATATCATTCTGGGGAATAGAAGGACTCTCGAACACCATCATTGAAGACACCCCATGGGGACCAAGATCAAAGACTCTGGGACAATTGTTCTGTGAGAGACACTTTGATAATATTCTTTCACCAGGTGGCACTATTGTCTCATCATACAAGATGGCGGAGTGTGAAATAGAAAGCAGACAGAACGTCTTCAACCAGAAGTTGTGTTGTGTCATGTATGAGGTTCCAATGGCAGGATTTGTTCCCGTGTGGGATTATATAACTGCAATGGCATCATAGAGAACTATGAAGTTAGGCATGTAAACTTGTAGTAAAACATTCCAGTTTTCATAGACTAAGTATGAGTATGTCTTTGTTTAAATGGATTAAAATATTCTATCCATGGTAAGAGGAGGGAAAACCCCAGAGCTATAGAGATGACAGACATAATTACGTCTTTACCACCTTCGTTTGTCAGAAGTTGCAACGGCCAGTTTACGAATATAACACTTTGTTGTGATGTTCTAATCGATGTTAGCATATTCATTTGAAACTTATTTTTCTTAATGTAAAATAACAAGCTATGATCATACTAATTAACATGCCAGAAATTAATATAATATGATTCGAAGCGTGTTTAGAAAATTTTGCAAGCACCATTGACACGCCAAACCATCCTCACCGTGTAGCGTCAAAAAATAGCGGAGTACAGTTTTCTGTACGGTGGCGCAAATTGACTGCTTTGAAGCAAAAACTATGACAGGAGTTTAAAAAAATTAATTTGATGAAAACAAATACAATTTCATGTGAAATAAAAACAGCATCATTACGAGCACTCTTAGGATTTTTTCTGAGTGAATCGGCCCACATCATCGACCAAAGTGAAAAATGTTTTTTTTCACATTTCGTTTTCATCGAATTAAACTTCTTTATGGTTGGCGTTATGCTTCGATGAACTAAATGAGACTTAGTTTATATGAAATGGAAACTGGAATATGATCATTTGTTCATATGGGCACCACAGTTTCAACGATTTTTTTATTATTATATCTTGGTTACCGCCATATTTGGCGAGCAATACCTCATTGGTATATTCCGTATTTTGCGTATTTTACTCTCGAAGACAGAGCCAGAAACCCCTCCATGGAGGAGTCCTGTGTTCTTTTGTGTGCACAGGTACACACCACAGCTTTTTATACGAGTTGTAGACAACCCAGTCAAACACCCAGAATTACATAACGCACATACAAACTTGTCTGAAACGGGAATCGAACCCGGGGCCAAGCGATATTGCTAACCTTGACTCAGCCACTGAGCCATATGGGGTGAACGATATCTTCCACCGCTTAATGGAAGGTTACTGGAAATGTATGATACGGTAAGAATCATGAAATCAAAAACTCAGTATATTTGTTGCTATGTTATTGATGTTTAAAAACAAGTGATGTCACAAGTAAATCTCATCTAGCACGTGTGAGTTTTTATGATGAAATATGCAATATCTTGCATGGGAATAAAGATGGCTGGAGGCTCTCTTTGTTAGTTATATGAGAAAAGCCTGGTTTAGTTCAAATGATACCAAAGCATTACGTCAACTTTCAAATAGAGACAAAAGACACAATGCCAAAACCTATATGCCACAAAGAAGGAATCGACGGGCAAGAAAATGTGGTACATGACCAACAGGAACGTGTCACTGTTAACGATAGGACAAAAGACATAAACCCAAAGCCTAATAATGCCGCAAAGAAGGAATCGACGGGCAAGAAAATATGGAAAGTCATAAAGCAACTTTTACTAGCCACACTTATCAAGAACTTGAAGAGAAAATTGAAGATGGGAAAACCAGGTAGAGAACAACACTGCAACTAAGAAGCATACCAAAGACTTTGTCCAATTCGTATTGGGCATCTGTAGGATACTTTACAATTAGTCCAATAGACAATTCAGCGTATTTCCCCAATGTGCTATGACCGTATAGCCAGAGGACTTGGTCTTATGGGCCTATAGCCAGAGGAAATGAACTCTAGGGCTCCACGACCATAAAGGATGCACAGTGCCTTGTCCCAAGTATTTAATTATCGAAGATTAAGATTTTGAAATAATGCAATTCTACATTGTTAGCACTCTTTATTTGGGTGCATTTGTGTATTTTGGTGCATTTGTATGTTGGTACATTTGTGTATCTTTATTGAAGATTACGATTTTGAGATAATGCATTTCTAATTTTTCAGCACCCTTTATTTTGGTGCATTTGTGTATTTTGGTGCATTTGTGTATCTTTATTGAAGATTACGATTATGAGATAATGCACTTCTAAATTGTTAGCACCGTTTATTTTGGTTCATTTGTGTATTTTGGTGCATTTGTATTTTGGTACAATTATTGTGTAGACCTCATAAAGAAAGTTTAATAACCACTGCAAAAATTTAAGCAATATTCGACAAATTAATACATGCAATCAACTTTCAAGTATCTATATACCATTTGCATTTGCATATTGTTGTATATTAACACCGTTCTATATTCATTACAGAAGTCATGGTTTCATAGTCTCTATCTATTGTTTGGCATGAATAAATCAAAAGTAGTCTTGCTCAAAGACTGTATCCACCCCCCCCCCCGTCACCTTCACTATCTTTACCTGGCAATAGAGAGAAGGATAAAGGGGGGTACAGGGTCTTTTAAGCAAGACTAATCAAAAGTAAAATAAAACGTGTTTTGTTGTGATGTGTGACTCTGATATAGTACTAATTTAATATTGAAGTCAATAATACATGCAATGCAATTCAGTTTAAGATTGTATTTCAAAATATTTTTTTATAAACCGTTATCCATCAATTTTCAAAAAAAGATTGACCAACTACGTGGCTGGTATAGAATTGAAAAGCGTAGCTGTAAAAGAACAAATCAAAACTAACTTAATTTCGATAAACACCATACTCACGAGTCTTTCCTTAAAATGACAAGAGATGTGCAAATAATGCACACGCGTACAATTTTATCAAGCTGTAATATTTACCGATTATGATATTTTCTGCAACTTAAAAACAGTGCATTTGAAACAAGTTCGAAACGAGTACAATTGAAAGATGTCGCTAGCTCACAATGGCTAAATATTTTATCAGCTGGCTGTAATATACTCCAGAGCTTCAAGCGTCAGGTCATATAGGTTGAATTTTCATCATTTTTTATCCGGTGTTTGCTTGCACTCTTGGCTACTCTCATAATCATCACATATGAGCCGACGCCTTTCATACCACCTACGACATAAATACGGTAAGTACATTCAAGTTATTCGTGCTTTATGGAGATTCTTTCATTTGCAGAAATAGAAATGATTCATACAGATAGCTCTTGATAGAACAGCTAGATATATTTACTTCGATTAGCTGTCAGATGTATTGGAAAGTGGATATTACTGGTATTGGTATTTTAAAAATATCATCGCTTTTTTATTCTAACAAGAATGTCGATTCATTGCAAAGAGTGGGTACAAGGAGTATTCTCTACTGACATTAATAGAATTCAGGCCCGTAGCCAGAATTTTCCAAGGGGGGGTTCGTTTTTCTAAAAAATTCTAGGGGGGGGGTTCACTTTGGCAAATATGGCCAAAAATCACTCAAAAATTAGTCAGAATGGTGAAAAACTGCATGATTTTGAAAGAAATTTTGGCCAGGGGGGGGGGGGGGTTCGCCCGAACCCCCCGAACCCCCCCTGGCTACGGGCCTGAGAATGAAGCTACAATATATGACATATTTGATGACCTGACAAATTCATGGTACAAGGAAACTTCCCTGTTAATCAAGTGGATAAGTGTAATAGTCAAGTGTCAAAACAGAACATGGACTCGAAGTGGTACTGTATATTTTTTATCTGAAAGGTGGCTTAACTATTGGGGGGGGGTGGTGGTTGGTGCTTTAAGTAAAGTACTCGACGTATTTTTTAATATCCTCAACTTCGTACTGGTGTTATATGCTCCGGTGTGGTTTGTTATTGTTTTGATACGCGGCTCAATATCTGGGTTAATTATATGCAGCGTTCGTTGTTTTACAGTAACCAATAATTCATTCCATAACAGAACAGAGTAGTCATAAAAAAGTAGTTACGATCAATAGTAAAGGGAATGATGAGATTCTTTGATTTAATTGCATTACAGTATGGTATTTGGCAATCAATCTAATGGAGTCCCACTTCTGGGATATATCCAGATCAACTGCAGTCCTCTAGCAATAGATCATGTGATGTTTGGGATTGTTTTCTTATGACTGATTGTACTTCTACCTTTTCTTACGTCTTAGTATTTTCCTCATTGGCCGCTGAGTTAACATATTAATATGGATTGATTTTTTGTAATATCTGCATGGTCAGTCTTTCTGAAAAGGGCTTTCACAAGACATAAAGTAGCTTTTCATAATATTCATCCGAGGACCATGTAGACAAGCTGAAAAGAACTGTAAGGTCATTCGAAATGTTTTGACATATCTAAGGATGTAAACAGATAAGAATTCTCCCATTTTTATCCTCTCGATACGTTAGATATCTCGTTTAGATAATAGAATGGAATTGGTATTTGTTTATACCGAGCGCCAAAATGATATTTCCCCGGGGATCCGAAGGGGTAGAGTAGAGGGAAATACGGTATTAAATGAGGAATATAACCTACACTAACTTTACCAGGAAATGAAAATGTTATATGATGTTAATTAGGTTTAATTGCGACTAAGCTTAAATAAGGATTTTCCAGGATAAATAAATATTTGATATGAAACGATTTTCAGTGAACTTACAAAATTAAACGGAATTTCCTTTACAATAAAATACGGGGATTTTGCAGGAACGAACAAGTGGATACGATTCTTAGGATGGATTATTTATTAATATTTTCCCTGGTGTCATTCAACGGGAAATAATAGTTACATGGTATATTTTAAATGGAAGGGTGGACATGGCCATGGACTGCCGGAATATTTGGGGGAGGCCAGGGGGGGGGGGGGGGCTTGATAGGTCGATGCAATACCAATAATTTTCCTACCAGTTAAAAAACTCGGGATAGCTTTAAAACTTCCACGCTGGAGCAGACGTAATATATCTGGCATTTTGGTATGATTCATACATGTACATCATCAGCCAGATAGTGGATTCCTCAACATCATGTGTTATGATAAATATAGAAAAACGTATTAACACCATGAGCTTTAAATATATTACAGTATATCAAAGTACAGATATACTCTTAACTCCATGTGCCACTAGAGAGATCGATTATGTTTCGATGTATCGGATCACGAAAATGCTACACATGTTTGTGTCGGGGTGGTTTGATGTTTTCTTGGTTCCGGAATGTATGTGGAATGAGTTGCAGGTGTCTGCGGTCCTACACTTCCTTCTATAAGTTTGGGAACTACAAGTGTCTCATTTTTGGTTGCATATTGAGCCTGATTATGTTTGGCGATTTAAAGAATCGTGAAATGGCAAAAAAACATTAACAGGTGCTCCACACGCTATCATATGACTACTTCCGTTTCCAACTTTATGGATGGGAGTGTACTATTCGGTGGCGCCACTAACGTTGATGTTGAACCACCCAGTAGTGTGATTATAACGCAAACTGTTTCTTTTCGTCAATATTTAAAAAATTCAGTAAAAGTAAAAATACAAGACCTGTCAAATGTTAAAACATATTTTGTCTCTGTCAAATTGAGTGAGCAACCTTGGAAAACAAGTGATTTAATAATACGGGGTATGTTCAAAATTAATGAATGAACAACTCCTTGGGAACCTCCCTTTAAAAAAATGAAAAGTAAACAGATCTCTGACCTTTGCGGTTTAGCATTCACATATCACATCATAGACGCTAGTTATTCAACCTTCTAATGCAGGGGTTCAGACATTATCCACTTTGTTCCGGAAAAAATAAACAGAGTAGATGATGTCTGGAGTCTGGACCCATGCGTTCCGAGGGTACTGTTGATTAAAATAGAACTCGTTCGGCATTTTACCGTAGCATTTACGATAATTGGCTTAAACAGGTAAGATTGTTACTATTTCGAATCATTACTTTTATTGATCAATAAAAATCATTGATGTTACAGTGGTATAGACTACAGAGCAAAGCATTACTAGTGATGAGGCGCTTGAACTCCAAGAGATTTCTGTTATGCAAAAAATAATTTCTAATAATTTCATGTGCGTATGTGCATGTATGCGTCGAAGAGGTTTTCCTTACTTTTTAATTCATTATACGTAGGGTAAAAAGATGAATAGGAGATCGAAATTTAATTTGAATTTAATTAAATGTTTTTATCTTATTTTATTATACTGTTTCATCGCAAGCATATCTCATGAATTTATTGCAGTATTAATTGCTTAAACTAATAGATACAGTAAACAAAATAACCTGTCATTAATGGCATTACAGACATCTTCACACATAAAAACAGACATGCATGTAAGGCAAGAACTTGCCTGGAAGATAAGTGTTTTTTTCAAATATCTTATCACACGTTTTTTTTTCGAAATTACATAAAAAGGTACGTTTTATCTTGCAAATTGCGACTATTTTACTTATAGTCCTCAAATTTAACGGCCATGAAGTATTCCGTTGAGTGTTTTGATGTACATCCCTGAGTGTTTTACCGAAACATGTTACCCTCTACTGGAATTCATTAGGTCTAAAAGCGGCTACCCTGACATCCAAAGGCTAGTCATACTAGTACGAGCCTCTGACTACTACAACTCAGTTACAGTTTAGATAACGATAACATTTCTTATAAGTTGCGATAATGGTTACGGGAGTTTGGATGTAAAATGAAACCGTGCTATTTATTATCAGTTTATAGGCGGAATGTAATGCGCTGATTTTCTAACTGTATACTCTAATTTGCTAATTAAAGTCTTGATTGAACAAATATTTGTTATTGAATGAGTATAGAAGTCATACTTTGGTTAAGGGTTAACACCGGTTATATCAAATACATTGGTTAACATAACCTACAGCCTTGTATCCACCCACAATGGCACGCTGTATAGACCCGGCGCAATCCAGAGACCGGACACAATCCAGCAACGAAAATGCTTATATTCGTACATCTGAACAGTTAGTTTGTGCCGGCTGGTACATGGTTCAGGTCGTTCATTAATTGAAGCTAATTAATTATTTTGCTTTAGAATTGTTTTGCAATATCTATAGCCGAAATTAATTATGGGCAGTTATACACCCCCTGGGGTGTCAAAGTCCGTATAATGTTGTAAACTTGTAATGAAAACTGAAATAAATTACTTTGAAATGGAAAAAATACATTTTACCAACCATCCTGTAATTTGGAATGTTTATATTTGGCACTGTGGTGGTTGTCATCGTAATTTGAAATGGGGTTCAGCTGAGGATCATAACGTAACAAAATATGAAGAAAAAGCAGTCATTCATTTTTACAGGACCGTTGCCATATTTCTTCGGGTTATCCTTCCATCCATTTCTATTGACCATTTAAATCTAATAATTTTCTCACATCCACGCCAACAACTGACAAAAAACTCGAACTAATGACGAGATATCAGAACAAGAGTGACCATTTCAATGTTATTTGTGAGGTTATGATTTGCTAAACTAAACTAATGACGAGATATCAGAACAAGAGTGACCATTTCAATGTTATTTGTGAGGTTATGATTTGCTAAACTAAACTAATGACGAGATATCAGAACAAGAGTGACCATTTCAATGTTATTTGTGAGGTTATGATTTGCTCCCGCTGAATCTGACTAAAGTTACTATGACAACCGCAACAATGCTAAATATCCATATCTTAGCAACATTTTAGGATGTTTAGTGAAATATACCATTCCACTCCTGAGTAAACTATATTACAGAATAAAAGTTTTAGAGAAAAATTAGTTTTAGTGAAGCATTGTTTCCAAAGAAAAAAGGAATTATTTCATTATCTATTAATTAAAAAAAATCTCGTATAATTTGGCTTGTAAATATTGCTACCTATAACCCATGAATTCGTGATTCTGTGAATATTCCTTGTTCCTACGGTGTAATAAAAGGTGGGAGGGTTTTCTAATGGAGAGATTTGTTTACCGTTTGTATAGATATACGTTGAAAAACTGTTATATTGAGTAATGGCGTTATTCATGTACTTGTACTTCATGTACTTCATTCCAGTGTACACTGATAAGTTCAGGACAAGTTTTGCTATTTTGCTCTTTTCCTGGTTAATTGGCCATGTAGTTGACATAGTGCAACTTGCCTTGGTATGTACCTACAATGAGACGATTCTGTTTGTCCATAGCCACATCTTGAGGATCTATGATGTTGTCTTTAGGTGTAACAAGAAGCTTAATGAACTTTCCTTTAGAGTCCAACAGATGAACTGTGTTGTTGTCTGAACTTGCTACTATAATCCTATCAAATGGATCCACACATACACCCGTAGGTGTTTTAAGTCCATATTCACCTTGCTGTCCATTATATGTGAAGAGAAGATCACCATTCTTGCTGTATTTTTCTACAATGTTTAATTCAAAGTATGATATAACAGTCTCAGACCTAGAAGTTATGGAGATGTTAGGGACATTGCCATCATCTTTGATCTTGTGAGTTGAGATCAGAGTGTTAGTATTAACATCAATGTGTGATACTTGTCCCTTTCCATGGGTTGCTATTAATTTACCATCTAGACCAGCTGCTACACAATGATCTGATGGCTTGATACAATCAACCTCTCTTTCAAAGTTACCCTTCTCATCCAACTGTTTGATAGTACCTGTATCCCTATCCACAGCTATGGTATTGTTGCCCTGTGTTGTGAGGCGTATACATCTCATCTTAACATGATGTTTCTGTTCATGTGTTATGTGATCAGTGATATTGATACCACCTTCAAGATGAGCTGATACTATATCACCATTCTCTAGAAGTTCGAAACTGCACATAGTTCCGACCATCGCAAAAGGGTTTTTCTCAATCCGTACAAATTTGTTTAATGTCTTTTCAAGTGGCATAACACTTCCAAAGTTCAGTCCTGACTCTGTTGTTTTCCCATCATTGAATATTATCTTGATCCTTGGTTCAAACTCTAGCTCCAGGGGCTGGGACCATTCCTTTGTTTTACTGTTTAGTTCTTGCCTGATGCTGATGATCTGGGCAGGGTGGCCAAACTGCTGCTGCATCTCGAGAAGGTGCTTGGTGCTCAATGTGATACCATTCTGTAGCTCAAGACTGTCGATATGTACATCGACTTTCTTCATGGTATCATGTTTTAGTTTTTCAACTTCAGTCACTTGGTTGTTATAGTGCTTGTCAATCAAATCATGTTGAGCTTTTCTTGTCGCATTAATCGCTGCTTTGACCGCTACAGCGTTGTTTTCCATGATTTCTTTGTATTCATTCATCTCCTCAATAGCATTCTTAACATTCGCTTCCCTTTGTACGGCCATTTCGATAAGTGATCCAATGTTTTTCATGTCACCTTTTACATTGTGTGTGAGATCCTCGCACTTGTGTCCGCTGTGAGTAGTGATACAGCAGTCCCTACACAAGACCTCACAGCAGCTTGTACAATAGAACTTCAGAGGCTCATCAGGGTGGGACTCACAGAATTTACTACGTTTTGGAAACATTTCTAATGTAGCGCGTGTGTCCTTTTGGTCATCCCCTGTGATTGGAATGACTTTGTGGCCTTTAACAGCTCTGATGCTCTGATGAGTACGCGTGCAAGAGTCGCATATAAACTGATCACAATCAATACACTTTGACGTCGCTTGAACTTTATTATCATGCAGCACACAAATGTCACAGTATTGTTCAATGTTGTCAGCCATTTTCTCAAGTTTCTTCCTCAGAGCATCCAACATGTCATTGAGTATATAATTTCCCTTGAGAGCATTGGCGCCACCTTTTGGAACCTTAAAGTCAACTCTACAAACTGGACAAGGACACACTTTCTGCACTTGCTTGGCTTTTTGGTTTATCCACTTATCAAGGCACCCACAACAGACTGTATGCATACAGGATGTCACCTTTGGGTTGGTGAGGAGGCAGAGACAGATTGGGCAAGTCAGAACCTCCCTGTAGACCTCCTCTTCTGCCACACATGCTGAAGCCATATTCAGCTCTGTAAAGAAATATTTAATCTCGTCAATTATGAATGTACATCCTTTTTGCTAACATTTTAGCTATTTATGTTTCAAACATATCCCCCTTTTCAAATACATCATTGTTATTACTTATTCTTTGATTTCCCCGGTTCTGATTTCAAGATTCTCTTTCTTACACACTCAGTCATGTTATCAAAAATAAACTTTTATTAGCTTACATACGTTATTTAATCGTGTACCACCTTAATTGTCAAATTACAAAACGTGACGTACTGTATAAATCGGGTTATACATCTAAGCTCAAATGTCAAATCCGTAGAAGAGAGGATAAAAATGGTATCCTTGATATAGCTCGTATTTTGGTTTACAAGCTAAGAATAACAAAATGTGATTCAACATATTTCAGCTATTCTAATATGTTGTATGACGTCACAATAACTAGATCAATTGATTTACTGGTCTATAATGGAGTACATATGACCGCTAAAATTCTTAAATGCAAAATGTTGTGTGTCTTGTCTGTTTATCATATTAGAATCGTAAAGACCTCGATTTTATGATTTATGTCAAATATATGACCTCAAATTTTATTCTGGCCATTGCCAAAGACCTTAATCGCTACACGAATTCGGTATTTTAACAATGAACAGAATATAAATTTAGGTCATATTTTACGCCATAAATCATGAAATCTCGGTCTTTATTCCTTATTTCTATGCCCAATGTTATTTATATTTTGTTTATGTTTAAAGTTACCAATTCAAGATGTTTAAGTTTCGAATATGTCCTAATATAACATGTTCTTTATCGATGTTCTGAAATGTTTAGCATGACAAGGAAGTACATGAGCCAAAATTATTTTAATTAAACATATTTGTATCTCTTTTAAAATAGGTGTAATAAGAGGATGCTCTTATTAATTTAATGTATAAAATACTACAAACAATAATAAATACAATATTTAAGTAAAACATACCTAATAGTGGCTAAATCATTTAATTACGTTGTAGACGTGTCCCCTCTTAGGCTAAATGTGCGTTCACTTCCTGCATAAGGGCGTATATGTTTATTCTGTGAATGCCTCTTTGTGCAAAAAGTTTCACTTTCATTTTTAGTGTATTTGAAGTTTTGAATGCCTCGATGTTTGTTAGATTTATTCAATTCAGTAGAAGAGCTGTATGTAAAACCTGTTTTTTTTGTATATCTCACATTTTCAGCGTCGGTATGAGTTCTGGGAACTGCTTATTATTCAGAGTTTAAGTTTGAATTATATTTTTGGATGACTCATGACATCTCTGATCTCATAACAACTCACACACTTTTTAAGTGGAATATAATTTAGTTTCATTTTAGTCCTGCTTTTTCCTTATTCGCCATGACATCATTTTTAGCCGAACCAGAGAATGTATTTGCTGATAGGATTAATTAGACACGACTTATTAAACTTTAGTGTTTTATAATGTTGCCCCTTGTGCATTCTTACTGTGATTTAAGATACAATTGAAAGCTACTATAAAAAAGGAGAACACACGACATATATGTGATTTAAACCATCTACAATTCAATAAGTCATGTTTCCAAATCTTTTAAAATTATACATATATCAAATTCAGTAGTTCTCATTATAACTAATACCGCATCGTTTTAAATGTTGATGAAAAATGTGTCAAATATTGGAACCAATCCCTAAAAAACATAATTATGCCATTTTTGCCTTCAATTCGTTTCTATAGCTACACAGAGTTAAATGTTAAAAATCTCTGTTCATAAAACTGTCTTGTTTTATAAGGTGAATAAACAAACCCATGATCCATGTTTGATATGTTTACTCTAGGGTCAGCTGTGTCAACATTCACGTCATTTTTAAAATAAAAATGTTGCTACTTATTTAAAAAACATAACGAAAGAATTTTACGCTGATAGACATACGCAAGCCACAGGAACATGAATGTCGTTATTTTTGATTTTACTCCAGAGATTTCAATATGGTTTGGTTTTTAAGAGACCTTGTACGTGAATGTGTAGAATTATGGTTCTAGGGCTTAGTTTTTTCTTTCATATAAACTTGTTAAAGTGAGTATAAGGATGGTGTAAGGAAAGGGGTATAATAAGTACACTAAAATAGTTGACAGGGGGTGGCTGCATAATCCCCTGTATGCCGGTGTAAAAGGGTAGGAGTGCCTATCAAATTATGGTCCTACTCTTTATTGATTTATATGGTAACCCCTTTCCCTTATTATCTTATACACAATCAGGGCCACAAAGGGCCTTTGAGAAAAGGGACCATAATCCCCGGGGGACCATAATTTCTTTCACACCGGTCAAAATATTAAATGTTCACGTACAAGTTCTTCAAAACGATGTGTAGCTGAACTGCCCTACCGGTATAAATATGCTAAAAAGTAACTGGGGATTTTTAAAAACAATCAAGTTAAGTATAGATTATTATAATTTCAGATTCTAACCATTCCAACTGTGTCGCAACAGTGAGCACTAACTGACGTTAACGTATCTAAGATGGCTGAGAGTGCAGACGCGGCCGCTGAAGATAGGAAGCCATTAAAGTCACGCTTTAACGAGTACATTGCGGCGACTTCTGCCAGTACCGCTGTGAAGAAGAATGGATTAAATGTGAAAGGGTTTAAGCGAATTTGCGATGATTGTAAACTTCTGGGCAAGAAAATGAACCAGACTGAAGCTGATATCAAATTCAGCAAAGTGGCGCAGAAGAAAAAGTGAGTAAAAAGGTATCTGGTCTCTACTGCGTTGTGGTATAAATCATTATAAATTTGTCGTAGGAATAGGACGAGAACTCAAGCATCCAGTCTTATATCGCAGCATTTAAATAGGTATATTAAAGGGGCCACAAAGACCAACAGTTGATAGTATTCTTCCAAAAATTTCCGAATGTAACTTGTTTGCATCGTTTTACATTATGTCATTACATTATATCCTATGTAAATAGGTTTTCTGGCAAGATAAAGATGAATTTTATAATCTTGGACATAATTGATTTGAACATGTTGAATCATCACTATCTCATGTCAGATATCTAATCCCATTTCTTTCTAAAAATACAACAATAATTGCAAGGGAACATATTTCCACTTTATTTCAGGAAAGGTCCCATGCGTTTTTTTTCTAAAGTGTATTCGTTGAAAATTGTGCTCCTTTCAATGATCGATACCATGCATTAATATGTTTTTTTCTAGTTTTGACCTTACCTTGACCTTGACCTTACCTTGCTTTCATCTACGTGTAATTTAGATAAAGTAGCTTTACAAAATAAACTTAAAAAGACACATTGATTGATAGCACATAAAAACACTTGGATTTACCATAAAAATAGTTTAAAGATCAAAACGCCATCTTTGTGTTCATACAAAAGTTTTTAAACTAATTTCTGTATGATATATTTCAATATCTATATGAACTAAAGATACGAGGGTCGTATTAAACATAATTTTCCACAAAGAATATGAAAATAGAAAAATAAGGATGCATTAAATAAAAGGTTCACCAAAATATGAAATATACAAAAGTAAGAAAGATTATTTAAGGAGGAAAATGAAAAATCATGGCAGAAAAATATATTGTTACAATAACACAGAATAACACAAACTCCATATCAGAGCCCCCTCCTATCCTCATATATAATTTTGATGGACGCCTAACGTAAATAATCTATTAATTTATTTTCAGAGAAATAAACTTCGATGAGTTCGAAAAACTCATAGATGAGATCTCTAAGGCCTACAAAGAAGACCATAAGTCAGTAGAAGATCCTGTCCTAGCGATTAAAGATAAAATAGAGTTGAATGGACCAAAAACACACAATGCAACTGTAAGTGCGTTAACTGGGAGTCCTTACTCTGAACACTGGGCTCCAGAAATTATCATCAAGCTATTTGAAATAAATGAAATCATGGATGGGGTCTCCAGGAGCCCCGCTTGTAGAAATAAAATATGAAGCGTGTGTAGCGGCAAAAGGGTTTTCGGGCTAATAGTCTTTGTATATACCGAAGTTTTCTTTGGTTAGCATATAAAAGCCTGTCAATGCTAGAATCGCAATTTTAACCTAATTAGTTCGGAAAGTCATGATTTTTGATATTGTCAACCATAAACATGTTTTGATTAGTGATCTGAAGGGGGCTGTCAGTTGCCAAACTTATAGAGGAGAGTGTATCTTATAATGGGGGTATAATATAATAATAATAAGTGTATTGGTCTCTTGAACATGTAATGTACATCGAGATATAAGTCCAATAAAGCAAATAACAAATAAAACATTCATGTACATGCATGGCAAAGCAATACTTACAATCTAATTTTAACAATCACTAATTAGTACTAAGTAGCATAAAATGATTTCACGTCAGTTTTTATGTCACCACCAAAAGTGGTGACATATTGTTATGGTCTCCGTTTTTTGCGACGGCGGTTGGTGGTTGGAGGTTGGCGTCCGGCGGTTGGAGGTTGGCGTCCGGCGTCTGTAACAATTTCTTACAACTTCCTATAACTTAACAAATACTGTTCAGACTGACTTCAAATTTTTCTAAATCATCTACATATTCTCAGAAGTTCAAATCTGACTTTAGATTTGACATTTGACCTTCAATGACCTTCTCAAGGTCAAAAAGGTCTTTTTTTAACTTGCTTCACATTGACTAAATCTTTTTTCAAAATCATCTACATGTTCTCAGAAATTCAAATCTGACTTTAGATTTGACTTTAGATTTGACATTTGACCTTCAAATCTGAGTTTAGATTTGACATTTGACCTTCAATGACCTTCTCAAGGTCAGAAAAGGTCAAAAAGGTCTGTTTTCAACTTGCTTCAAATTGACTAAATTTTTTTTTCAAAATCATCTACGTGTTCTCAGAAATTCAAATCTGACTTAAGATTTGACTTAAGTTTTGACATTTGACCTTCAATGACCTTCTCAAGGTCAAAAAAGGTCAAAAAGGTCTGTTTTCAACTTGCTTCATTTGACTAAAACATTTTTTCAAAATCATCTACGTGTTCTCAGAAATTCAAATCTGACTTTAGATTTGACTTAAGATTTGACATTTGACCTTCAATGACCTTCTCAAAGTCAAAAAAGGTCAAAAAGGTCTTTTTTCAACTTGCTTCAAATTGACTAATTTTTTTTTCAAAATCATCTACATGTTCTCAGAAATTCAAATCTGACTTTAGATTTGACATTTGACCTTCAATGACCTTCTCAATGTCAAAAAAGGTATTTTTTCATCTTGCTTCAAATTGACTAAATTTTTTTTTCAAAATCATCTACATGTTCTCAGAAATTCAAATATGACTTTAGAATTGACTTTAGATTTGACATTTGACCTTCAATGACCTTCTCAAGGTCAAAAAAGGTCTTTTTTCAACTTGCTTCAAATTGACTAATTTCTTTTTCAAAATCATCTACATGTTCTCAGAAATTCAAATCTGACTTTAGATTTGACATTTGACCTTTAATGACCTTCTCAAGGTCAAAAAAGGTCAAAAAGGTCTGTTTTCAACTTGCTTCAAATTGACCAAATTTTTTTTTCAAAATCATCTACATCTTTTCAGAAGTTCAAATTTGACTTTACAAGTTCTCAGAAGTTCAAATCTGACTTTAGATTTGACCTTTGACCTTCAATGACCTTCTCAAGGTCAAAAAGGTCTTTTTTCAACTTGCTTCAAATTGACTAATTTTTTTTTCAAAATCATCTACATGTTCTCAGAAGTTCTTCTTAAGGTCAAAAGGTATTTTCCAACTTGCTTTAAATTGACCAAATTGTTTTAGGTGGTGACATTTTGTCATGTTAATGCCTTGTGTTAACCCTACTATCACACCAAACTAGTTTTCACTACGTTCTCGAAAACGGGCTTCAACTGTGTACGAACGGACTGGACGTACCTAGAACCGTTTGGGGTCTATCTACAAACTTCATCGAACGTACTCAAACGGGTAGGTACCCTATAACTTAGAACATGCTCAAAATGTTCTCGTGGTCGATACGTTCTACAACTAGAACGAGTGACAACGTACTAACGACGAGCTGGACGTACTACGAACGGAACCGTCGTACTTCAATCATACTAGGGACGTTTTAACAACGAGTTGAACTGTCTGAGGACGTATTGAGAACGAGGTAGAACTAATTGCAAACGGGTTTAAACTGATTAAGAACGTATTTAAGACTGCTTATGAACGAGTTAGCAAAAATATAGCTATCACACCAAACAAGTTGCCACTGCGTTCTTCAAAACTGGTTTCAAACTGTGTGCGAACGGAATGAACGTAGCTGCAACTTTCTAAGGTCTATTTACGAACTTCATGAACGTTCTCAGACGGGAAGGTGATTTTAGAATTTTGAATCGATTCAAAATTTGATGGCGACCATACCGTTCTGTTATCAGGTCATGATGACCTTCTAGACTAAGGGACGCGTTATACGACGTTGCACACCGACCTGGTGCGACCTGAACGAACTGCGAATGAGATGGACGCATTGAAGACTATTTATGAACGAAGTAGCTAATTATTTTAGACATATTTCCCGACCACAGCCAGATTGAGCCCGTTTTACGACTTTTTCGTAGGACTGGCAAGAACGGGTAAGAACTAGTTTGGTGTGATAGGGGGGTTAACAACTCTTTGGAAATATTATGAACTCTTGTAAAATATAATAATCACAAATTGTTTCATTAATTGCATCATCGTGCGGTTACAAGGAGTATAAAAATAGACTACTTGTATTAAGATGAGAAAAACTATTGTTTATACTTATTATTTTACTGAGATATAAAGATCGAGCTCGTTTTAGTTCTGATTGAGAACAACAAAAAAGAACGTGTTCTCCATAACATTTCGTATTTTTCGAATTACAGAAGAAACAAAATCGTTTCGATTTTTCTACTTTAAATATAATGGTATAATATACCTTGTACCATAATCCTAATTTTATTAGCATACACATGCTGATTTCAGAAAGTCGCTAAGAAGGTCGGAGGTGTTGATCGCCTAACAGACACCAAGGGCTACACGGGGAGTCACAAGGAACGATTCGATGAAGAAGGCAAAGGAAAGGGAATCGCAGGCCGAAAAAACATTCTGGATGGGAGTGGATATGTTGGAAATTACAAGAATAAGGACACCTATGATAAAACACATTAGACTGATATTTAACGATATACAGTAAAACTTCTAACTTGAACACCTCACGTAAATTGTCACATGTCACGCAATTTTCGTATAGGCACCGACAAGACAAATGAAGAACAAAGTATGAAGGAAATCTCTGTATAGTAACAACACCATTTGTTCACGGGCGTCATTTTCCATTTGTATTCATTTTCGAGCGCCGTGTCAAAGTGTGTTCACATTAGATGAGTTTTACTGTAATGTAACACGTGAATCTTAGTCTAGCCACTAGCTTTTGTGACACCCACTACAACAGTGTGAGCTGTGTAGTGAAGTAGAGGGGGGGTGGGGGTCACAGAGGCTTGTAGCTAAACTTCCTGAATCTGTGAAAGGAATAATAAAAATAGGACTCAGGTTTCGTAAATTGATACACTTTAGCTATGTTGTAATAGGCGTATTTGTGAAATACACGAGCAATAACAAAGCATTGCTAATCAAAGGGCAACATTTGAAATCAAAACAATAAGAGCGAATATTTCTAAATCATCATCAAATAGTGAAAAAACGCATCAGAGAGTTACTGACTATATTATATTAATACACGTTAACGAGCTCAGGATTACTAATGTTTATAAATTATATGTTGTAAAATGTTTCCTTTAACTTATTGACTTCTCTTGTGCATTATGACAAAACACAAAGAGCAACATTTGAAAAGTCCAAGTATACACATATTTTATATATCACATATATCCCATCACATTCTTGACGAATATAAAAGGTTGATTAAAATACATTGTGAATGCCAACAAACAACCCAAATTAAGAGATTTAAACATCAAAAGTAAAGGGTGAGGTTGTATCATATTTAAGATATCAAAACAAAGTATAGTCTGAGGATTGTGCCATAACATTTAAAAAATAGAAAACTTTACAACTACTGTAGCCAAAAACACACAAATACATATATAATAGGCTACTACTCAAAATATTTCGATCTTCTTAGGATTTTCACTACATATACGTATATTTATATTTCTCAATGTATACTTAGATGTAATTCTAATAGATCATATAAACCAAACCTATAAGTGTCACCATTTACACGAATTCTAGTACATTTTGATACACACACGTCTATGATCTGTACAGGTTGTCCCACAACACTTGCAAGACATTGGAAGCCTTGTATAATAGTAACATATCTAAGAACACTCCCCTCAATAAGTTTGGAAACCGGAATATTCTATTGGATAGCAAAATTATATGTCAATATCCTGATCTCAAATTTGTTGCTTAATTTCAAAGTTTGGATTACATTTTGATGATTTTTGATCTTTTTTAATTTTTATATATTGTTAATCTTAATAGGTGAAGGGGTTTCCGTTTGCCGAACTTAAGAGGGGGGAGGGGGGGGGGGTGTACTGGCATATCGTTTCCGGCCTAAATATGTCTTAAATGCAATGCAACTGTAATAGGCTTGTATATTGACGGCTTTTAATAAAATGCGGAGAAAAGTTTAGTTTAAAACTACAATTATACAAAGAAGACCTGTGGTGTGATTATCATTTTTAAGAGGAGTGTAACTCGACCACTTTTATGATTGTCCATAGTTACGAATTTGATATTTATCTTATTCTATTGAATTTGAAAATTTATGTATTTACAGATGTATCTATTTCATATGAATGTAGATATTTTGTATTTTAGAAATAAATACCAAATAATCTTCTCGAATTGTTTTTCTATTTCAATTTACTGAAGATTCTGAAGATTAGTTATAGAGGGCAATTCTCAAAACCCAATTGGAAAACGAGACATTTGCATTTGGAAAATGGAAAATATTCACTTGATTCTGTCTCCAAATCTTAACCTTACTTTCGTCATCAGCTGAAAAGTCAGAATAACTTACAGATTAGGCCTATACTGTTACCTGCTACACTACCGGGTTGAGTCTAACGAAGCATTTTTGTAACGAAGGTTAGAGAAAAAATTGTGTCCACACTGGCTTTATCCAACCTTTTATTCGCGAATGCAACTAACGCCTATCGGTTACCGGATTAACCTACTATTTTATGACCAACTAATTTAAATATGGATGGAGTAGTGGCAGGTACTATTCATATTTAAGTTAATGAGTTTCCCATAAAGTAGTAGGTTAATCTGGTAGCCGACAGCCGAAAGTTACATTCGCGAATACAAGCAAAGCCTAACGAAGCAATTATTTGTAGTTTTACGCTGCAATTTAAATGCGTCGATGCGCATGCGCATTACTCATCTGCCCCTCCCAATTATTAATTAACATTCTTATTATTTTAATATAAATCAATAATCATATCAAAAATCGAACTTATAAACTTTATTACTTGAATTTGTCTAGGAGGATCTTGTATATATATCCAAATAATCTACATGAAATGTAACAACAACTGAATACTCTATCTATTGGTGGTGCTCTTGGCAGAAATACCTGCAATTTATTGTAAAATCAATGTAGAACCTTTTTATATTGAATATTTGTATTTATTAAATTGTAATGCTGCTAAACCTGAAATAAAAATCAATTAAAAAAAACAAAAAAACTTTATTTTAACAATTCTGCACATAAAACGGCCAGCAGTTCAAAATCTCCGCGAAAATAAAACCAGCTCAATGTGATCATTCCGTACACGTGTCCATACATTTTTCCAATTACTACGATTTTATATATTTTAGTCAATACGATTGCAAGTATTCTCCTCATTTTCTATCATTTCTCTTGGAAAACATATGGAATAGTTAGAGGTTAATTACTAGGTGGGATTGGATTTGGGGTTTATACATAGGGCAAGTATGTACTATCGTATAAAAACGATTCCCGAATGGGCTTCTCAGTTATACCATGATACTGCGTGGTTCAAAAAAGTGTAGCAATTATTAAATATCTCGGTTTTCAGCTGATGGCTTAACTTACTATTTCATGACCAATTCATATTTGAAAGAGCTTGCCATAACATAGTATGTTAATCCATCAGCCGTCAGTTGAATTCGAAAATAGGCAAATGGGAAGAAACTTTAATATCAGTCGTAAGGAGCGTCTTAGGACACATCAGTAATTCAAAGGTAGCGATAATGAAGGCTTGGACGGGAATTTTAGATTGGCTTTTGGGGCTTGCCTAAAACATGGACCCTCTCTGTAGGGGGAGATTTAACGCTATCAACAAAGTATAGATATACAAATATTCGTTTTTCCGGCTTGATCGGAGAAAACTTACATCCTGTTCAGACACCATTGACAGCGAATGTCACGTGATACGCAATATCTTCGTAATTCACACGAGTTCACCACTCTATGTTTTGATAAATATTAAATACCAATTTTTAGAAATTTTACTCACAAAAGAGCTGGATTTCAAAATGTTTCAAATCACAAGATTCAAGCTAAATCTTGATCTTTGATCCTGATTAACATTTGACGTCAACATATTTCCTTTATACTTACGATGTTAGCAGTTAAAAATAAGATGTTCTACACTGGGGGAAAGTATACCCGCGTATATACAACCTGACTGCCGAGTAAGACACGCATATACCGCCAATCCAATGTTTGGTAAACTACATCTCATAGGAAAATGGGCAATAAAGGTAATATTCGGCCAGTATCAATTCCCTTGGATGTTTAGAATCGTTACTAAGAAGTTCTAGTAGGCGGAATTGGCCTAGAATTAAAGTTGAAATATATTCTTATGTCCAAATTAGGAAATAAGTAAAAAATATAATGGTTTTCGATTTGTTTTTCTCATTCATACTCGCTTTAATTGATAATGAGCCATACATAAGACATACCTGGCTTGCCTAAAACATGGACCCTCTCTGTAGCAAATACCTGTCAACAAGGAACAGTTTGGGTTTTTTGGCTAGTCCGGAGAGCGTTTCTTGTCCGCATTTTTTACCGCATATGCACACGGTAGTTTGAAACAATATATTTGCCTCCTGATATATCTAGAATAATGACTCAGTCATATTTTTTTACCCGTGCGGCTGCCGGAGCTTCCGAAAATCGAGAGAAATATGCAGGCATAAAATATAGAGATAAACAGTACGATGTGAATTTTCTTTATCGATTTTGTGAAGGAACGACCGGCTTGTTTCCATGCTTCAAAAATTTAAATTGCGAATTAATTTATAATGCATTGGCATATACTTAAGTATTTCAGTCGTGTATTTTAAAAATGTGTACAGACACCATCATACAGAAATCTAGAGGTTAAAATCGAGAGAAATATGCAGGCATAAAATATACAGAGATAAGCAGTACGATGTGAATTTTCTTTATCGATTTTGTGAAGGCACGGCCCTCGTTCAGCCAAACATCATTGAATCACAAATTCATTTAGGACAGAGGCAAATTAAAGCAAAATACTCATTTATAATGCATTGACATAGATTTAGTATCCCATTCGTGTATTTTTAAAAATGTGTACAAACACCTTACTAATAGGAAATATAGAGCTGTTCAGATTTCGAAACGAAAAGCAGTGATATCTCAATAAATATCCGTCCTCTGCTTGTGAATTTAGAGTCGTTTGAAAGACTGAGATATGATGTATAAGTGGGGGAGATTTAACGCTGTTAACAAAGTATAGATATAAAAATATTCGTTTTTCCGGCTTGATCGGAGAAAACTTACATCCTGTTCAGACACCATTGATAGCGAATGTCACTTGATACGCAATATCTCAGTAATTCACACGAGTTCACCACTCTATGTTTTGATAAATATTAAATACCAATTTTTAGAAATTGTACTCACAAACTGGATTTCAAAATGTTTCAAATCACAAGATTCAAGCTAGATCTTGATCTTTGATCTTGATTAACAGTTGACTTAAACATATTTCCTTTATACTAACGATGTGAGCAGTTAAAAATAAGATGTTCTAGTTGCTAAGAAAAAATTGGAATCTAATAAACTATACTTGACTAAATAAGCTTGCATGGATAAGAAAGATGATACATGAGAAAATGGCAGAACTAGGCATACCTGACCCACTTTTTAACATGCCTTACCTGTA